GCAAAAGCTTAAAGGTAAACAGTAATTATTTTCAGAATTTAGCAAACGGTTTTTAGTAAAAGTGTTTGCTTAATTTTCATTCATACAGATGCGAGTAAATGCTTCAAAGTGGTAGCAAAAGCAAATGCCATGCTTTATTCATACAAACATATGGTATCATGTGTACTTTATGAACTTTAATAAATGCAGTAATTTTTCCGCAGAATTATTTTACTTTATAATTTCAAGGTTCAAATTAGATTAGGTTTTTGCCCTTCACCGACGTTTTTTTAAACACTGTATACTCAGTGTTTTTTCAAGGTTGCCCCAACCCAGCCTTGTAAATGACAAGTGCATATTTGAAATCTGAAGCATTTACCCCTTTATATTCATACGAAACGAAGTAAACGATAATTTTTTTTTTCTGGTAATGAAACCAAGGATCCTCGAAAGTGCATGCCCCAGGCACTGTAGCTCGCAAACCCCGGAAAAAAAACGTAGAGAGAAGACAATGAGAAGAAATTACAGTTTTAGAGGTGGGAAGAAAACCCCAGAAGAATAGTCTGGGGAAAACCCACGGAATCAGGTAGGGACTGAAAACCCAATCCACATGTAGACCATGGGTGCCGATGCACAGCGCATTGTGCACGTAAACGGCATTGCGTTCGTCGCGTTTGATGCGCTTTTTTTGTATCTGTCCTCCAGCACGTGACCCTCCCCGGTGCCGCTTTCCGTTTCGGTTACGATAGTTTTATTTTCTGCAAACTTATAAACGTGTAAAGCTTTACATTTTGCAGGCCATTTACTCATGAGCAAATGGTTTTTAGTAAAAGTGTTTGCTTGATTTTCATTCATACAGATGCGAGTAAATGCTTTGAAAGTGGTAAAAAAAGCAAATGCCATGCTTTATTCATACAAACATTATGGTATCATTTGTACTTTATGAACTTTAATAAATGCAGTAGTTTTTGCGCAGAATTATTTTGCTTTATAATTTCAAGGTTGCCCCAACCCAGCCTTGTAAATGACAAGTGCATATTTGAAATCTGAAGCATTTACTCCTTTTGATTCATACGAAACGAAGTAAACGATTATTAGGCCAAAAAAGGCTCTGGTTTCTGGTATGCGCGCGCGTCGCCATAGCCATGCGCGTCGGCAATGAAATGATGTCTTTCAATGTAAGATGATGTCTCAAACCACCAAACTCACTGGTTCGACTGGAATCCTGCTGCTGCACAATTTTAACGTGTTATTTCTCATAAAGTTATTTCTCATGTCTAAGTTTATTTCAAGCATGAAGAACAAAGGAAAATGGATGTTAAATACAGTTTTTCTGAGTTTTTTATTTTTTGCACTCCCCTTTTTGAAAAATCAAGCTCCGCCCCCCAAAATTGTGCAAGATCCAAGATGTGTTCACCTCTTAAAATTATTTTCAGCCCATTTTAACTGGACCTGCCAATTTTCAGGATTTTACTACCAAACCAAATAATGTTTTCCATATTAAAACCAAACTGCTAATATATACCGCCTCTTTTGTACATTTAGGCCACGCCCACAAAATGGGTGGAAATTAACTAGTGTTCGAATGCTAGAATGTTATATTTTATGTTTAAGTTTATTTCAAACCATAAAAAACAAGGAAAATGGATGTTAAATACAGTTTTTATGAGTTTGTATTGTTTGCACCCCCTTTTAAAAAAAATCAAGCTCCGCCCCCAAAATGGGCAAGATCCAGGATGGGTCCCGATCTTAAAATGAATTCTAGCCCATTTTGAACCCACCGGCCAAATTTCATGCTTTTACCACAAAGTGCACGATTTGGGCAAAAAATGGACCTAAGCAGCTCCTCTAATAAGTCACTGCAACGGCGGATCCAGGTTGGGGGGGGGGGGACGGGGGCCATGTCCCGTCCCCCGCCCCTAAAAAAAAACCCTTTTTTAAAGCTACTTCGCAATAAAGGCAGCCACTGCGTACACCACCTATAGAACTCAACAAAAGCAGTACGTTTTGTTTTGTTGACAACAGCACAGGATACAATTCAAGACTATTTTCCATGACCTGCCGCGACTGCCGTATCATTATTTTCGGTTCTTGAGTCAGGATTACAATAGACTACTGTAATGTCCACAATGTAAAACTACAACGTCATTTTGTTTTGTCCGCGAACACTTTTCCTACGAACTGTTTTTGTTTTGTTGTGTTGGTTTGTTGTTGTTGTTGTTGTTTTTCAGTTCTTGCAGCGGTGTTCCTCCCCCCTTAAAGAAGTTGTTCTGTTCTAACATTGCACGCTCTTTGTGGACTTGTGAACAAAAGCGGTCCACAGAATGCAGAGAGTGTTTTGTGGACTCGCACACGCCCACGCTGTACTAGGTTTCATCCTCTCTTGAAAACAGGTTCAGATGCATTTTGGGGTTACTTTTATCAGTCGTAAAATGAAGAGGAACAATCCGAGAAATCATGATTAAAAAGAATGGGTTGAAAGAGTGTTCACTGCACAGTGCAAGTAAAATGATTTTGTTTCTCCGGTTTTTCTTAACTACACAAATGCAAAATTGCAAAGGAATGTCCGCGGTAGGCATGTGGAAGGTAAGACTGCCTGGATCTCTTCCAGTGCTACGTGAAACTGCCAGCACTAGTCCGTTACTCTCATCAAAATCGGTTTTTATCGTATATTAATAAAGGCTTGGGGACATTACTATAATGACAGGTATGTAGGCCTATACTCACAGCATCATTTATCAAGGACTTTCACTACCAAATCAGGGAGGAGGCAAGCGCAGATCAAAGTGGACCATGACCCTCCAGCCTCCCCCTCCCCCCGTTTTTTGTTTGCTTATTTTTTGCTCGTTTTTTTAGTCGCAGAAGCAACTGACAAGCACAATGACTGAGTATACTATATTAGGCCTACTTCAGATAATGAGATTCTCGGAGGGCATTATTAAAATTGCGCTACCCTGCATCAATGCCATGAACAGCCATATTGCCCCCCCCCCCCCCCTCTTGCTTTTCATATAAACTCAGAGGCGGACAATTTCTTAACCCATGGGGGAACCAAAAAACGATTTGTTCCCAAAAAATTCACAATTGTGTTCTGGATCCACCATTTAATGTTTGGACCAGAGAAGAACAAGTAATCGCCGACTATCGGCATTTTTTGGTTATCGTAGTGTTACATTGATAGTGTTATGACGGGCCCAGCCGTCGTGTTAATTTGTCAATTAATTGGTATAATTGTTATTCTCCTCTTGGCAAATAGCAAAAAAAATATAGCAAATAAAAACAGAGTAAAAATACATATCTGAAATTGTCAAAGGATAAAGATATTATCGCACCAAGGAAGATTCGCTTTTTCTTTTACAGCCGTTACTCAATAATTCTGAGAAATGGATATAATTATTACATAATGAAATACATTATGGTCTACATAATTCCGTGGTTTTCCCCAGACTATTCTTCTTAGGTTTTCCTCCCACGTCTAAAACTGTATTTTTTTCTCATTGTCTTCTCTCTTTACAGGTTTATTCAGTCTTGCGAGCTACAGTGCCTGGGGCATGCACTTTTGTTGAATCCTTGGTTTCATTACTAGAAATAACTAGATAATTTATTAATCGCTTACTTCGTTTCGCATGACAAAAAAAGGAGTAAAAGCTTCAGATTTAAATTGATTACTTGTCATATTTTAAAGCTGGGTTGGGGCTACCTTAAAAATATGAAAGCGCATAATTTTGCGCAAAAATTACTGCATTTATAAATGTTAATCGCCAAAAATTAATATTAACAAAGTTCATGACGTACAAAATAATACCATAGTTCGTATGAATAAAAACTGCAGTCATCTGCATTTACGACCAATTTTTAAGCATTTACTCGCATCTGTATGAATAAAAAATATATATATAAGGCCAAAAAAAAAAGTCTCCGGTTTCTGGTATGGAGCTTGCCCAAAAAGTGGTGCGGCGACGCGGCTTTTTTTTTTTTTACCTGACTTTTTTGCTTCAAATGTCGGCTGATGACTGCAAATGGTGCCCGACTAAACTTAGTGCAAAATGTACGGGAGTCCAGTGAGTCCACATAAAGCTTATTCTCGATCATACCCCCATCTAAAAACACGTTAAAACTGTGCTGCAGCAGAATTCCAGTCAAACCAGTGAGTTTGGCGGTTTTGAGACATCATCTTTTATTGAAAAAAAAAACTTTTTCATTTTGCCGACGCGCAGGGCTACGGCGACGCGCGCGCATACCAGAAACCGGAGACTTTTTTTTTTGGGCCTAAGCAAACGCTTTTCCATTCGCTCTTCAGTAAATTGAAAATAACCTTGAAAATATAAAAGCACCTAATTTTGCGCAAAAATCACTGCATTTATAAATGTTAATCGCCAAAAATTAATATTAACAAAGTTCATGAAGTACCAAATAAAACCATAGTTCGTATGAATAAAAACTGCAGTCATTTGCATTTACGACCAATTTTTAAGCATTTACTCGCATCTGTGTGAATAAAAAATTAAAAACTAAGCAAACGCTTTTCTATTCGCTCTTCAGTAAATTGCCTGCACAGTGTAAAGATTGTAAGGTTTATAACTTTGCAGAAAATGTAATCGTAACCGAAACGGAAAGCGGCACGTGTGTGCGCAGCGCGGACATACTCGGTGCGCATTTCTAGCTTCGCGCGCATTGGGCTAGGTCACGTGCTGGAGGACAGATACATTTAGCTGTAAGACTTTCTGTTATTTTTTTGCGCGTCCACTCTTGTTTCAGCTGAGGTATTATCAACATCCAAACTCCAACCGGTCTTTAATATAGTGTTTAATACCGCCCCAGTAAGTTTTTAGTTGAGATTGGATGTTTACCGTGAAATCTCAGCAGCACGGGACTGAGGCCGATTCTACTTCAACTTCGGGAAGGTTTAAACAGTTGCACGCATCAATTTCACCCGATCCTTCGTTTACATCGAAACGTATCGTACTATTTGAATGCCCTTCTTTCATCTGTTACCATTTTTGTTTCTGACCTCTATTCAGATCGCGTAACTGCACCAACACCAAGGCCAACATGGATGGAGACAACATAGATCGTGCCCGGCTCCTCGACCGTTACACCGAGGCGCTAGATCACATCGAGAAGAACCTACGAGAAACCAAGCGCGTAGATGACATCCCTAAGAAACCTGTCACGGAGGCGGTGTCACCAGAAGATGGATCAGGTGATGGCCTGACAGGCAGCGGTACCAAGCAGGGCTTGTGTAAGCCTAATTGTACCATTGAGCGCTCCACGCTCAAGTTTAAGGCGTTCTTCTTCCTGTTCAAGGGTAGCAAGTCCTGTATTGTACCCTTCCTACCCGTTTACTACCAGCAACTAGGGCTGGTAGCCAGTCAAATCGGTTTGCTTCAAAGCTGCTCCCCGTTCACCCAAATCCCACTCATGATGGCTATCACCTGTCTGGCTGACCGACTCAATCTCCGCAAGACCCTCATCATCATTAGTCTGGTAGGCTGGATCCTCGGCATCGGCTTGATAGCGCTGGTACCAACACCTCATCGGCAACCGTGCGAGGCAAGCTTCGCGCGCCTGAAGGAAGAGTTCAAGAAGAAAATCAATGTCAGCGATTGTATGACCAACGCATCCGATACTCATCTGTTCCCTGTTCAAACGCTCCAAGATTCCCAAACAACGCTTGAGCGTACCGCATCCACTCCGCACCCTTACGACACCATGCCATACGATCCGTACCTCGCACACGACTTCGCAGACGACCTGGCGACCTCCTACCCGACCCAAGCTGATCTCTCTTCGAGCCATCTCAATTTCTCCATGGATATCATCTATGCTCCCCTGGCCCAGAGCGTACCAGGCAGTCATCGCCGATTCGCAAGCCGCTCCTCCCTATCGCCATTCAGCCCCATTCACCATATCTACACCCCGTACCACATCAACAAACGCGACACCAATGATTCCACTCTTAAAGATGCCGTCACGCTTACCGAGTACGACTGGCTCTACAGACCCGCAGACCTGAATCATCTGTTCATTATTCTACTTCTCTTGAGCGTGTTTGGGTCCGTATTCCAGGGTCCAGTACACGCTCTCAGTAATGCAGCAGTGCTGGACAGTCTGTACATCAAGGGAAATACTGTGGATTACGGCTACCAGAAAGCATTTGGTCCTGTTGGTGCGGCTATCGGGTAAGCCCTCACTCAAGAATGTTAAAACAACGTATAGTTGGGCTTGACCCGAACGTTTGACTAAAGTTATTATTTGTACTCTATGATGACTCAGTCAGACAGTCGGTGACTCAGTCAGTTAGTCGGTGACTCGGTCAGTGACTCGGTCAGTGGCTCAGTCAGTGACTCGGTCAGTGACTCAGTCGGTGACTCAGTTGGTGACTCAGTCGGTGTCTCGGTCGGTGACTCAGTCAGTCAACAACGCAGTGAGTCAGCGACTCAGGCAGTGTCTCAGTTGCCGGCTTTTCAACCCCGAAAAAAATCGATTCGAAACAAGTATTATTTGTTCTTTTTATTTTATTGTCTCTCGACAGGACCCTTTCCATGGGAGCCTTCCTGTCCACCATGGAGCGCCCTACAGTCCTGTTTGGAGTCGAGATACCACACACAGATTACAGTGTTGCATTCATTATCTTCGTCGTAACCATGATTCTGTGTCTCCCACTCGCCTTCACGTTCGACACAACTCCGGTAAGAACTAAAACATCTTTAGCCCCAGTCACACATTCACGGTAGTGCATGTTATTCGTGGCTATTCGTGCATATTCTTTGGTATTCGTGTATCCATGTTGACGTAAGGAGCCTACGCACAAAATGACTTGGTTGAACAGGTGTGGCGATACACATGCTAAACCCGCCACATAATGTTTCAGCACATGCTAAACACGCCACAATGCTTGATAATGTTTCAGCACATGCTAAACACGCCACAATGCTTGATAATGTTTCAGCACATGCTAAACACGCCACAATGCTTGATGATGTTTCAGCACATGCTAAACACGCCACAATGCTTGATAATGTTTCAGCACATGCTAAACACGCCACAATGCTTGATAATGTTTCAGCACATGCTAAACACGCCACAATGCTTGATAATGTTTCAGCACATGCTAAACACGCCACAATGCTTGATAATGTTTCAAAACATAACCATTGCGTCAAAAGAAGTACATGTATTGTCATTAACGGTCCAGTGAGTGGAAATGAAAAGACATCTCGTGTCGAGTCTTGGTCATGAGGGTAATTTACAAGGGAGTTTTTCGAGGTTCTATACAGAAACCTTAGGACCTTAGTGGTTATCCATCCTGAACCGTAGTGCATTGTTAGAAAGTCGATTACTCCACGAATCTCGACGTTTCATCGTGATCGATTGATTCTTGGTAAAGCGTGGATATTCGTATAGCTCCAACCGTGAATGTGTGACTTGGGCTTTAGTAAGTATTTATACTTGTATTTATCATGTGTCTTCTTAATTTATGAGTGAACTAAACTTATAAATCTGTCTGGTTGATTAGCGAAAACAAATATGCTGGTGCCAGGCGTCTTTTTCGTTTAAAATATTAATATACTCATGGCTGGTTTTGGATTACTGGATATTATTTTTGTGGAAATCCACGAAATGACATTTTATTCTAATTTGAAAATAGGCCAGTTGAATTGTTTTACAAAATGCAGGAAATGAAACAGATGTTTAATGAACTCAATTGGTACGCAGTGATCAAAATGTCAATGGCTTAATGTTGCAAAGGAGTCAGGTGTTCGATTTGTTAGTTGCCATCTGTTACCTTTCCAGAAAACAGGTTTCTGTGGTAAACAGATGTTTTGATGTATGCAAAATCGTAAGGTCGGTGGTAAAGGGAGGGGACATCCATGTCCTCGCCATAAATTGTAAACCTTTCCGTTAATTATTGCAAGAGGGCGCCGTTTTTCGACCACGCCCTATTTTGACCAATTACCAAATCTTTGGATGATAAGCGAGAATCAGTTTCGTTTATATGTGAACTGAATGTCTTGCTTTCATTATTTCTCTCTAAGACTTCTCTCCTCAGGTTAAAACAAAGTAAATCTTTCCTTCTGAAACGGCAAGAAAAATAAGTTGAAATGTAACCCCGATCGCCATAGGCGGCCGACTCAACGCGGAAGTACTTGTTTGAAGTCATTACCGTCAAGCGAAGAATGAAATGAACTCAGGCCAGTAATTGAAAAGCTTAAGCCCTCATGAGAAACGCGCTGATACAAAACCAGAGGCAGCTTTGTTCATTAGGAACTGTATGTTTGAAAGACAATGTCATTTCCTGTTTCACCTTGTTAATAATACCTTGTTAATAATTAACCAGGTCAAACAATTATTTAATTTAATAAAACTACTGTTCATGAAGTTGACAAATACAAAGAAGAATGAATTCTTTATTCGCACCTTTAGAAGAGCGCCCTCTGTAGAGATTGCACAACTCCGCTGCAGGCTCTACAACTTTCATTCGCTCGTAGCCCCCCCCCCCCCCGCCCTGCAAACAGGCGGTTAGCTAATGCGCGCAAATGCTATCCGAAAACTTTCTCACTAGAAATGCAACATTCCATACGGGATGTGATTTCTTTTTCATTGCGGACCATGTCGACAAAATTGAGCGTTTTATAATATGCAATTTGACCCTAGGTAAATTCGAAACGGAACATGTGCAAGTGACGGGAATTGAAAATTTACAAAACAGAGAAGTTTTACAGATTTTCCTGCACTATTACGCTTTTTCAACAAAAACAACAAGCATTTATGATTGGGAATAAAAGAGTAGTGACTCGGTCTTATTGTCGTTTAAAACCTTGCAGGGTCGTGGCCGTGATGACTTGCAGGTCACAGGTCACGCAAAATCTATCCAATCAGAGCGTAAATTCATCAACGGTTCCCAGCGTCCTGTTTGCAGGGCGGGGGTACGAGCGAACACCTTTCCCTCATCAGCGTTATTATAGCATCGATCAGCAAACAATTAGCCGTGCAGATGACGCCAGTTTACGAGCCGTCAAATCTCTCTGATCTGATCCCGGGCGCACATCATTGTTTCCACTTCGTCGCAATATTTCATCTCGCTAGATGATTTCCGGTGAATTCACTTACGATGTCCTGACGCGACAGAAGATCGTTAAAAAACACCATCACGACCATCCATAAATCCAGCGATTGCTTTCTTTTTTTCCTTTACAACAAACAACAATTTGTAACGGTTAAACGATCGCTCCGTGAAATGAGGAAGACATGACTACATTATTTCCTCTGAAATCCAAAAGGTGTGATGCATAATATTACAGTAGGGTAGATCATTTGTCATGTACATGTATGCATTTCTTTTTCGTTTGAAGCAACAAACGTGCTCAAAATCTATAGACGGGTGCTTAACAACTCACCTGATGAAGTTTTAGCTCTGAGAAAAACCCCGATATGTTAGGACCTCGTTTTCAATTCAAAATTTGCCGAGTCATGATTTGAATTGGGTCCGAAATCAGCGTCCGGGACAAGTTCTCATTCAGCCGATTACATCTAACGATGTCACGCACTGAACTGACGAATAAAAACAATCACGCGCGCGTGTGCGTCGTTTCAACGCTTGCGCGCATTCACGGATGCGTTGAATCACAAAACCAACTATTTACAGAAATTTCCAAAAATGCGTCTTTAGACACATCTTTGGAAATCACATTCTGTTATTGTTTTCTTCAATATAACAGCATCCCAGAAGTAATAATTTTACAGGGAGTTTAGTGCCATTGCTATCTTTAAACCAAGTGAGTTTTTCAACAATAATTTCGCCAGTTACCTTTTGGATAGCTGCGAATGATATACTATTATATTTAAATGAATTGTATAGTAATCACCTTAGATATTGGCCTCTACTTATCATGTGTTCGTCTGCAGTTTTACATTAGATTTCAAATTCGAACTGATCATGTTCTTATCTTGTCAATTCATTGAATAAGCCATTTCACAAAGGAATATTTATTTAAAGATAATGTGATTACTTATCTGGCTGCGGACAAATAGCTAGGTCAGACGAGATCCCGTACCAATCAAGCCATCGTCTCTTGTAAACTACAATATAATGTCGAGTAAATGTCATGGAGGGTCATGATAGATGACCCGACTCTCCGATGATAACATTGTCGGCCAGTCAGTTATTAATCAAGAAAACTGCGATCAGATCACGTCTTCTTTACAAGTCAAACTATTCGGAAATAATTGGTTCCGCATTCTCCAATATTAGGCCCGCTCTATCGCTGTTTGAAGGAGTACAGCTTCTTCAAACAAACCATTAATCAACAATGGATCTTGGGAGCTGCTAGATGAGTCTTGACCAAAGGAACATCCCGAAGTAGATATAGGGGGCTGTAAATAATGGACAGCCGGGTGATTGGAAGGGTTCATCTTAAGCCTCCGCTCGCGCGTGTCTTACTAAACCTGTCCTCATTCAGTAGTTTCTACGAGGGGGCGTTTCGAAACGACTTATTTGTAAATCGTGCGGAATGGCACATAGAGAGTGAATAAAAGCTACCATGAATGGGGAAAAAAAGAAGAAAAAAACAATCGGGAATACTCCGCGATGATAATCCTTCAGTTGATATCAAATATGGAAAATGTAGAACTACAAACGTCATGCTTTTATGAGATTTTTCTTTAATAATCCCTGACTTTGACCTTTTGGGTGCTTGGCGCAAGTTTATTCTATTTCTGAAAAAAATGACAAGATGAATTAAAACAGTCAAAAAACAACAACAACAACAACAACAAACAGACTAAGCAGCTATGAAAACCAAATATTGTTACTATGTGAATACAGTATGAAAATATTTATTACCAAATATTACTTCAAGTTTTTTCCCCTGTTAAGTCATGTACTTATTGGTACACATCTGTGTCTCCTTCCAACCCTGCCTGTGTGCATGTCCCCTGCATGCTGGTTTATTGTCCCTGTGTCATTTGCCTCTGGAGAAGTCTTTGCTAAAGACGAAATATTTCAGGCCTCTCTAACTTTTTGTTTGGTACACATAATAGGAGTCAACATTAAGCACCTCAATTTCCGACACCTAGTCTGATTCTCTTTCTAACCAGCTTCTAAATTCGGACAGGAAGAGTCAGGAACCCATTTGATTTGCTTTTCCCCTTACAGAAGCCCAAGAGTACATCCGAGTTCTCATTGAAGGTGCTGATGCGGGTCATCTTCAGTGCCAAGTATGGTTCGTTCCTGCTGGCCAGCGCCTGGACAGGCGTCGCCTCGGGTCTGAGTGCTAGTTTCCTTTTCTGGTACATCATGTCAGTAGGTGAGTACCACAATGGGCACTAAAATGAGGGCGCCATACAATGCCAAATTCCCGAGTTGTTAACTTTACTACAATAAATGTTGAATCATTAAAACGATCTTTAAACTTAATACGTCAGCATTAATCTGCACTGGCGTAAATCTGTGCCGGGGAGAGGGGGTGGGAATGACCAAAATCCAAAACTTGCCCGGCCGTGGAAATTCAAAAGCGTAGGAATGGGGGGGGGGGGGGGGGGGGTGGGGCTTGGTATATGGGCTTTCTAGAAACTTTTTACGCTATAGGGGTTGCTGCTTATGATACAGATGTACATCTTATGCATACTTACGCGTCTTAACTTTACATCAGATTTGAATTTTATTTTTTTATTACCGCGTTTTGCGAACAGTGGCAAGATGTTGCTGACAAGAACGACGAATTGGGTTGTCCCCGCACACCCCTTCTATAGCGAATTGTAGTCAAACTGTCTTTGTCAATTATTTGTCTCGGTGTCTGACAACCCTTGTGCTCCTCCCCCCCCCCCCCCCCCCCTCTCTTTCTCTCGCCCTAACTCCCTGACCCTATTTGTCAGTCTGTTTGCCGGCTCATGGAACTCCCTTCATTAGGCCCATGCGTCGGATTTATTGACAATTCTCCCCAAAACCTCACCTGTGCGAGTCAAAATCCACTATCATCTTCCTGCATTAGACGTGATCAAGAATAACCCGGCTTCAGCGCCGGTTCGCTGTCTGTTCCCATTATCCTCCATTGTAATTTTGTGCCCGGAATAACAAGCCATTTCATTCAGTCAAATTGACTTCTCATGATCGTATAATCATCAGTTCTCCCTTCCCCAATCCCGTATGTGCAAATTGCTGGGCATGACTATCACAGTATGCATGTGATGGATCGTTTTTGCCATGAGCGCAGGTCCAGCCTAGGCTTAATTAGTGTCCAGCTAGCTATACCCCGTGGCGTCTGATTCATTACGGTTATTACTTTCGACTGAAATCCGTACAGTTTTAATAAGGATTTAAGCTTTACACAAAGGTATCAACCATGCAGAATAGGGGAAATTCACGTTTATGTGTGCTTGTGCCAGTAATTTTGGGCAGCTCAAGAAAAGCATGTCATTCTGACTCACCGATTGATTCCGAAAGGGATGAAGTGTTATAAATGTTCTCATTGTTCTGGGTTTTAGTCCGACGAATAAATTCAGCATTTTTAAACCGCGATCTGCTATAAAGTGCTCGATGAATTTCTGGCAGAAGGGGGGGGGGGGGTTTCCAGGGAATCTTATAGATATACAAGGTGTATCAATGTTTGTATAGGAGCTAGGGTATAAAATGTCAAGGAAAGAAATTTGGATCAGTTTTAAAATCAATACCTTTGCAAATTTGTACAAGTTTCGATCTATAAAATACTGTTTGTGTTTGAACTGGGACCTTATCGTGTTACAATCTTAATGCACTACGCTGTCAGTTTATCGCGATAAGCTTCTCTACAATTTGCACTCACCTGCATTTTCTCCCGTACGGCCTTGGCTGCCTGTTCCAGTGTTCCTTCGTTCCTAAACATGATCCTCAAAATCCCGCATTAAAGTGTAAAGGATTCATCCTGTTCTGTCGGAATTCTTGAACCGTCCGCTTCGTCGACGATATTTTGGGCTGTATATCTTCGCCTCGATCTATCGCAAGTTCTCGACGGAAAACCATCGGGCGATCAAATCTCAAAATTTATGCCAAACCTTGGAGTGATTTCCGGTTGGTTTGTTTAGGGAAGAAAGTATCAACTGACTTTGGGAATTAGAATGTTGATACACAAATATTTCATTGCAAACTGAGAAAAATGTCAATTAAGAGACTGCTTTGACCTTGACTATATTTATACACTTTTATTGAATTTTAATTCAGTGTGTGCATTTTTTGCTTTGTTTTGAAGCATCGAAATTGTTCAAAATCTAAAGAAGGGTGCTTAACACTGACCTGATGAAGTTTTAGCTCTGTGAATGCTGTGTATTCCGGGACACGTTCTAATTCAGCCGATTGCAGCCACGCAATGTCACGCACTGAACCGACGAAAAACACAAGCCACGCGCGCGTGTGCGTCGTGTCAACGCTTGCGCGCACCCATTCACGGATTCGCCAAATTACAAACCAACTACAAACGGAAATTTCCAAAAATGTGTCACTTGGCGCATCTTTGGAAATGATCTTCTTTTATCGTTTCCTCAAAATGGCAGCATGCCAGATGGAATCATTTCAAAGGGAGTTAAGTGCCATTAATATCTTTAAACCAAGTAAGCTTTTCACAATAAATTTGTCAGTTACTTTTTGGATAGCTACACATAGTCTACTCTACCTTTAATGCAACACCAATCGAAGAATTAATATATATGGTATTTTTAATCGAAGTTAAGCATTAAGGATATGAAGATATTATTGGATATTTAGTAATCAAACTAAGAGGTTTGTCCAAACGGACATCCTAAATCCTAAACTTTGACGAAATAAGCAAATTATTAAAAGAAACAACCAAACAAATAGACAGACTTCAAGACACAACAAAGATCAACAGGCAGATGCAAGAACTAAGTGCAACATAGCAACAGTCCCAAAGGATAAAAAAAAAAAAAAGCAGACGGACAGACAACACAAACAATTTTTAGTTTTTTTTTTAATTTTCGTTTTTGCAAAAAAAAAAAAAAATACACGTGAATGCACGTACAAACATTTGGAAGATCACTTTTCGTCACTCTCTTAATGTTTAGCCCATTCCCCTCAAAAATTCATTAGTGAGAAATGAACATCTCGCCTGAAAATAATACCTTAGTGAGTTGATTGCCTATAAAGTAGCTGTTTACTAATGTCATCAGTCGCAGAATGCAAGTGTGATGGACGCGGGTTCGTTTTATTATGTGACAGTTTATACTCAGAGATGGATATGGTCTCTCTACGGGATAATAAAAACCGCTGACTCCGTTTTAATCGCCTCATTTAGTGAGAATGAACAAAATCCGCAAACAAAGGATATTGACAGTTGATACAGGTTGTCCCACAAATAACCTATAACAGTCGAATCGGAAATCTTTTCAGAGAAGGGGGGGGGGGGGGTAGTATTCAAATAGTGTCTAATGTATTGCTGAGTAGATTAATTGGTCTTCCAAATGATTTTTAGTGGGTTTTATTGGGATGTTTTCTTCAAAAGATACAGCAATCACAATACCGGACTTGAAAACCACTTGGGCCACTTTTTTATTCATCAAACTTACAGATCGAAACCGGTAGAATAAGTCACACGTTACTCTTGAACAAATAGTCCAGGCAAAATACTTCATTTTTTGAGTGAACCTCAAACAAATTGCAACAGAATTTTTTTCACCACAGTGCATTTCTGTAAGGTCCCTAAAATGACATACTAAAAGTCCAAAAAAATCCAAGTGGTGGAAATATGCCTAATTTGCATAAATCCAAAATGGCTGACAATTTTAGGACTTTCACATTGATTTGGTCATATTTCTTATACTCGATAGCTTTTTCAGGTACTTAAAACGACAATTGTAGTCCGTTTACATTGATTTCATAATTATTCTAGTCCTACGTAACTTTCAAGATCCCCATGTTTCCCAAATTTGCTATATGCCGTATAATAATTTGCATAAATGCAATAATAAAATAGCATAAATTAAAGTTAAAATTATGGCTGTCATGTGTGGACATGTCACAATTGAATTTTCCTGATAATCCAAGTTCAGTTATTTAATACATAAATATCACACCACAGTGCATTTCTATAAGGCCCCTAAAAAGGTCCAAAAATCCAAGTGGTGGAAATATGCCTAATTTGCATTAATTCAAAATGGCCACTTAAACCATGATTTTCATATTGATTTTGCCATAACTCTCGTCCTACATTGCTTTTTGGGGTACTTTAAACAACAATTTGTCCTTTTACATTGATTTCATCATTATGCTAGTCCTGGGTACCTTTCTAGGTCCCTATGCATGTTTCCCAAATTTGCCAAATGCCGTATAATAATCTTCCCATACAAACGGACAAACCGCCAGCACCACCATCACTACTTGAGGTCATCAGATGTGGGTGTGAGAAGCGTTCTTTCGTTTTGGACGGTTAGTCATGACGGTTCGTGACAGCTCGTCATGACGGTCGTCCTGGCAAATCACATTCCTCGCTAATACGAAAGGGCGTGATCAATGGATCTTGGCCAATCAACTGGCTCCTCTGTACGGTAAAGTTTGTTGTTCGGGAATAAACACTTTAGATTATTATTCAAATAATTATGGAACACACACACACACACACCCACACACACCCACCCATACCTGCCAGGGACTGCCACGTCGAATGCCACGGGCGTCGCCAGGATTTTTTTCTAGAGGGGGGTAATGCACATTTCGCCCCCCCCCCCAAAAAAAAATACCTGTACTTTTGCCAGCATATTCTCAATTTATCTTTTTCGAGGGTGGGCATGGGGGCATTTACCCACCACTTTTTTGATGATAAAAAGTAGTAATTAAATAGTAAAGTCTGTCAGGGGCAAGTGTGGCCCATTGGACCATGGGCAGTGCCGGCATTTATCTCCGGTTTCAGAGAATATTTCTATTCCCCCTGGATGGGATGCTAGTCCATCGCAGGTTACTCCACAGCTAATGCCGGCACCCATTTATACTCCTGGTTGGAGAGAGACAAGTGTGGATGAAGTCTGCCGTAGGACACAACATAATGGCCAGCAGCTGAATTCGAACTCCTGACCCTCTGATCATGAGTCACAAACCCTAACCACACTACGGCACAAAAAAGGAGTTTGATCACTGCTTGCTCAAATGGAAGTTGGTTGCTGCCTCGGCAAATAATATGGAAGACATCATCTAACTTTTGAAGCGCATTTCTGGTGCTGCACATGGCTACCCGAAAATAAAAACGTCAAACTTCAATTGGAGATTGACGGATCCACTAAAGTCCTTGGAGTTAATGTAACACATGCCTGTCATCTAGAAATACACAAAATTATGGCTGTTTTGTCTTTGCACAGACGTAATACAATTTTATTCTGAATTATCGAAAGAACGGTTCGTGGCTAGACTGTACGAATCATAATTTTCTGCATAAGCAATAAAATATGCTTATTTTCTAAAAAAAAAAAAAAAAAAAAAAAAAAGAGGATTTTGTGGCTTTTTTTTTTGCAGGGCATAATAAAAGTTTGCTCTGTTTTTTTTGGGTCCCATTTTAATAGTTTATAAAATTAGGCAGCTGCTGAACGGCAGAGGGAATTGCAACCGCCCCTCTAAATCTGATACTGTAGAAGGAGGCTTGTTGGAAATGAGAGGCTGCAATTATAGTCCATTTGTCTTTTGCTCTTCCTCGTTTCTACTCATGAATATTAATTTGTGAAGACAATTTTTTTTAAAGCCAGCCATCCAGTCAAAGTATGAGAAGCATAAAAAGCTGCCTAATATGGGAGACGTGATCCACTTTTTTTGGTTCAAATTATGACTACTCAAAAACATAAGCAGTGTCGGTAGACTTCAATTTGGAATTTGACAGAGCCTCTGAGTCCCTGGAGTTTATATACCATATGCTTATCATCTAAAAATACATGTTTTTTATTATGGCTTTCTCGTTTTTGCAGGCCGTAATAAAATGGTTGCTCTGAGCAAACGAAAGAATGGTTCGTGGCTCCATTGTACGTTCTGTTGAAACTAAACTGGTGAGGTACCATTGCAATCAGTTATGGCGAAAAAATGAGAAGTGTATGAAATAAAATAGTTCTTGTTATTTCGCCCTGGGGTTGTGGTGCGTGTGCCCTTGGGCAAAGCACTTAATTTGCCACTCATTTGGCCCACCCAGGATTTTTTGTAGCGGGGGCAAAGCAAATTAATTATCCCCCAAAATGCTTGTATTCTCTCTAGCATATTCTCTATTGATCATTTTGTTTTTGGGTGGGCGGGGGACATTTGCCCACCCAACCCCCAGTGACACCCCTGCAGACGCCCATTTTGTTAAATGTGTATTAAATTAATAGCACATATGACTTAACCTAGGCAGGAGGCTCATGTCGTGCAATGTTTAGAATTCTGAAAGAAAAGAATTGAGAAAAAAACCTCTTCCATGCAGGCACAGATGAAGTCGCACAGAAAAATGGTCTCTCTTGTTCAACTGCTTGCACTGAAAACCGTGGCACTAGTTGTGCCAACTCGCCACCACCAGACATTGATCCTAAGGCTGCTGAAGATTATAGTCTGCCTCATAAGTGTTCATTCTAAGATACAATGATGTACGTGTAGATGATAACAATCAGACTAACATTGCATGCTAGCCAATATGGATGATAGGTCGCCAATATGAATCTTTGTGATATTTCTGCATTCGTAACTGAACTTGGATTATCAGGAAAAGTACAATTGTTTTCTCCCTTCACAGAAATCATATATGATAAGAAGTTAAGCTACGCTTTCATTTCATTTACTATTCCGTATTTTGTATTTTGAGTTGCATATTCGAAACTGATATTGTTAAGTGATTTAGCGAGAATCACTTAAATAATTGCGACTTTAACTATGATTGTGTTTTTATTTAATTGACTTGCCACTTGTTCCTTTTTAGTTGTTAAGAATTAGTATTTAACTTTGTCATTCTGTTCTTCGATGACGATTACTCAATATGTATCTTGCGCCTCTTAAATCAGACTCAATAAAAGTGCAAAACCTGATGAATAGTTACCCCCGCAACCCATTTTCAATGGCCTAAGTCCCAACATGGGTCCCAATTGTGCTGTAACTTCAACTTTACTTTACTTTATTTGAATTTATGCAAATTAATATAAGGCATTTATGCAAATTATTATATGGCATTTGGCAAAGTTTGGAAACATAGGGTCGAAAGGTACCCATGAATAGAATAATGATGAAATCAACGTAAAAGGACAAATTGTTGTTTAAAGTACCCCGCAAAGTAATGTAGGGCGAGACTTATGGCCAAATCAGTATGAAAATAATATAATTAGTGGCCATTTTGAATTTATCCAAATCAGGCAAATTTCCCCCACTTGGATTTTTTTTTTACTTTTTTTCGGGACCATATAAAGATGCTCTGTGGTGTGATACATAACTGAACTAGAAGTTATTAGGGAAATTCAATTGTGGAATGTCCACACATGACAGCCATAATTTTAATTTTAATTTATTTGCAAATTAATACGGCATTTATGCAAATTATTATACGGCATTTGGCAAAGTTGGGAAACATAGGGATCTAGAAGGGTACCCAGGACTAGAATAATGATGAAATCAATGTAAAAGGACAAATTGTTGTTTAAAGTACCCCAAAAAGCAATGTAGGACGAGAGTTATGGCCAAATCAATTTGAAAATCATATAATCAGTGGCTATTTTGAATTTATGCAAATTAAGCATATTTCCACCACTTGGATTTTTTTGTACTTTTTTTTTCGGGACCATATAGAGATGCTCTGTGGTGTGATATTTATGTATACATACATGTAACCGACTAAGAAGTTATTAGGGAAAATTCAATTGTGATGTCAACACATGATAGCCATAATTTTAACTTTAATTTATGCAAATTAATATACGGCATTTATGCATTTTATTATACAGCATTTGGCAAATTTGGGAAACATAGGGATCTTGAAATTTACCTAGGACTAGAATAATGATGAAATCAATGTAAAAGGACTAAAATTGTTGTTTAAAGTTCCTCAAGAAGCTAATAGTATGAGAAATATGACCAAATCGTTGTGAAAGTCCTAAAATATGCGGCAATTTTGGATTTATGCAAATTAGGCATATTTCCACCACTTGGATTTTTTTGGACTTTTAGTATGTCATTTTAGGGACCTTATGGAAATGCACTGTGGTGAAAAAAATTCTGTTGAAATTTGTTTGAGGTCAAACCTTATATTGCCTGGACTAAAAGGAAATACATCCTTTGTGTGTTTCTCTAACTGCGCTTTCTCACTTTCAAGGAAAGTGGCCCAAGACGATTTTCAACCCTTGAGTTCAATGAAGCATTGTATTTGTTCCAATGCATTGATTTGAATGAAATATAGTTTGTACGGGTAGATTGGTTATCTGATTTCTAAGAGGTAATTTAAAAATATTCCAAAACTCACATGCAATATACCTGCATTAATTGGTTTTCGACTGTACTTTTGTGGGACAACCTTTATAATGGTAGTCTATGTAACAGACCATGACGAAGCCATTGTCTATGATATGTGAACAGATTCGCTGATTAATTATGCAAGACAACCGCCTCTTGACCTCCAGATTTTGACCAATCAACGGGCGCTTTCTACATCAAATCTGCGGTCATTCACCCGTTGTCGCGTCAGAGACATGGATTTAAAAAAAAAATCCAGACACAGCAAAAACAATCACGCGCTCTGTATTATGTTCCAAGCTTGTCTGGGTTTTATAGATCTATGCCTGGCCGTTGTTGTATTACAAAACACTGCATTCGAATTGACCATTCAAACTTTTGGTCCTAATTTGGTGAAGTCGATTCTGATTGGCTGAGGTGCGGGATCGCGCATACATCTGCATGTTTATGCTTAGATATATCAGACGTTAGACCGGAGACTGGGCTCCATGGTTAACGGGGGATACTCGGACTAGTATAATCATGTTGACATAACTCATCATTTGCATTGAGAAGAAAGGGACTTACGAAATCAGTTGAAATGAACAGTACGTGCGGGGCATGTGTATTTCAATATGTGCATGGCTGGCTGCATTTTTTTTCTTCAAAATTGCCAACCGGTAATGACGTGTATCTCAACTCATATTTTTGCAGGTGGATCGCACGTGATCATGGGCGTGGCAGGCCTAGCTGCTCTTGGGGCTGAGACAGCCACCTACTTCGCCCTGCCTCAACTCAGCCGATACGTGTCCCATCACACCCTCATGCTTGCATGTCTCTTGCTCGTCGTTATTCGCTACTTCCTGTATGGGATTCTGCACAGTCCCTGGTTGCTTGTCATCCCAGAATGCTTCAAAGGTAAACCCCGCATGTATAATTGACCATGTGTCACATTTGGTTATTCCCCTGGTTTTGAGCAAAGAAAAGGGGATCTTGCGATAGTGTATTCCTTCTGTGTGTCCGTGTGTTCCTTTTAGTTAATTGTAAGTGCTGTCATATGAAAAGTTGGACTTCGCTCTCAACCAAACTTGGCGACAATAATCTTTAAAAACAATAATAATCGTACACAGAACCTTAAAACGGTGGTTGTATTTAAAATTCCGTAACTTGAAAAGTACATAAGTGATTTGTATGATTTTTGTACTAAAAAAAAAATGAATTGGGCTTTCATATCCTAGATTTTGAAAGTTCTACATGTAGAACTTCAATAAAACAATGGTCCCGACATTTGGGTTTCGTTGTTTTACTCAACCTGTACACAGGGACTCCCTGTGACACAGAGACCAAACTCTGAGGCAATGAATGTAGATTTGTAATAGTATTTGACATTATTTCATGCAACCTAAGGTTATTCCCAGCTATGCAAACTGATAGATTTTGGTCAAACAGAAGAGGCTGCTTGGCCAACCAAACCACCCTGCCTAAATCCGCCCTTAGCCCTTGGCTCTGACGCCCAGTTTCGACCCATTGGCGAGACACTGACCCCGTGTCTATGGTCAGTGAGTATTGCCAGGACGATCACCACAAAGCCTACTTCTTGTTCCCAAACTTTTACACTGTATCAATGGTATACTCAAGGAAAACACACTCTAGAACTAACATCAATATGAAGCGATTTCTGATGATGTTAAATATTCTTGTTCTAAGCATTAGCTGCGCTGGGGGGGGGGGGGGGGGGGGGGCAATTGTATCGATAAGGATCAACAGCGCCACCTAAGTGGACGTCATCTATATGTGGATGCTATCTCACTGAACAAAAAATAATGAATGCAAGAAGGCTATTGCAGGAGTGAGGAGTCCTTAAACTGATATGATAATTCACGTGAATATCAATTGAAACTTTCGGAAATTCGTGAATATGAGTGCATGAGGTCACTGCATTATTAAACTCAAACTGATAGAGTAAACTTGACGATAGAATTTGATTATGTAAATTTCTCGTGCATTGGTAAATACCTGGAGACCCAGGCGCGGATCCATGGGAGGGGGCATTATTTTTTCTTAAAAATAATTTTTAAAATAATTTGAATCCCCACCCCCTACTGTGTCATCCAGAAAAATAATCATGTAATAATATCCCCCTGTGCACAAAATTCGGGCTAAGCCAGGTTGGTAATGGGGGTATTTCTACACTATTATGGCGTATTATAGTGTTCACTACGGTATCGTCGGATTTGAACAGCGTCCCCATTGTAATTATGGTACGACCTCCCCTCCCCCCACCACGCACACACACTACGGTATCTGAATTTACGGATGCCAAATGTCCGGAAAAAAACCAAACCTACCCATATTTCAGAATTGATTTGCTGATGACCCCCCCCCCCTGCAAAAATTCCTGGATCCGCCCCTAAGACTGAGACTTTTCGAAGCAAAATTTTCCTGTACAACGAAAAAAAATTATTCTAAATTTATGTTTTGGTATGTTTCCTGTGTTCATAAGAGTTCAAATCTTTTAGTATAATGAGCATGATGGGATCCATAAACAAAATTGCTCGTTATATTCGGTCGTTATGGTTGTGCATTATACCAGAATTTCATATTTTGGGAGCCAAATGTTCGTTATAACCAACTGTTCGTTATAATGGTTTTGGTAATAGCAGCGTTTTAATAGGCAATAGGATAGAATGCAATAGTGCCGCTTCATTTGAGGCATCGACGCTACTCCGTACTGAAGACATTTATAAGTGAACGAACTATGTGTTTAATTCATATTTGACGCTTCGTTTCATGTCCATTGTTGCTTGACGTATGTGACAAGCGTCATATCACCGATGATTGCTTCCATTATTTACAGGTGGCTGCCATAACTCACGCGCCATTGATAATATCGTGTACTTGGAGTAACATTTTTTTTTCTCTCACCTTTTTCCAGGCGTGAGCGCGGCTATTGTGGAGTACACGTTAGGTGCCATCTTCGCTGACGAGACACTAGTCTCCTACTCGTGCTCCCTTCAGGGGTCTTTCCTCTTAGCCTACTACGCAGTCGGCTTCGGAATGGGTAGCATCTTGGGCGGTGTGGTTATAGACGCGCTCGGAGCCGTTAAATCCTTCTTCGTAGTCTCCCTCATATCGTTAGTGTTGTCGGTACTGTTCCTCGTCATTAGGTCGATACGGTACGGATACGAAAAGCTGCAAGAAGATTGATGTCTCCCTCACCGACTTTACTCATAAATTACAGAGTTAGATATATGGAAAAAAATCTAAAGTGACAACTGTAGTGTGTTCTATCTGTAAAAAAAATAAGAAAACACGTGAATCGGGTGACACTAGCTTATAAAAAAAAATATATTAGTTGTAAATATATTGTCCTGAAATATTAATGTTGTTTGTTCGAATTCATTAAAAGCCATAAACTGATAGATGGATAACGGAATTTGATAATGTTGATAAATTATGCTAGACACGGTCGATTTGATATCGGCCCTTGTAACTTGGTAGATACTGTTGTAGTCGATAATCGAATACTTAGTACACATGATGTTAAGTAGGGGCGAATTGACATATTTACTGTGGACTCCGTGCACGAACAGTAGATGACGTTTTGTGACCATTTTCAACAGCCCAAGTGGGAGGGGCACACTGCGCGCGGTACTGGAGGGCGCGCGCGTACTGGTGCGCGCGCGTATTTTGCGAAAGTGTATTTCAAAGCGTATTGCACGAGCGTCAAGCGTCGTCGGCAGTGCGTTGGAATGACCCTCCCAGTAGTTTATCCCCTTGTAACCGTTATGTCAATAAGGAACATACGTTTTGTGAAAACAAGTGTCATTGCCGTGTCACGTGGTCACATTAAACATGCGTGTTAAACACAGTAACAAATAATTTATTTTTATATGTATTATAAATAGATCTGTTCATGCAGTCCGTTTTGGCATCGTTACCTCCGTAGTTAACTCATTGAAATCAGTTTTCACGAGAAGTAACTACACAAACCAAGATTTTAAATTGGCACGTGTAAAGATGATTTCTAATGGAAGATTTTAGAGACGTTGTTAGCTGCAAACACACCGTTCCTTTTTTCAATTGTTTACGTCATTTTTAAGCTAAAACGCGCATGCCGGATATAACGCAAACAATGGAAAAAAGGACCGGTGTGTTTGCTGCCACCAACGTCGCAAAAGTAATCAGATTGCGTGTACAGTTTTATCAGGAAACGACTGAAGTCTTACCCATCATCTATTTTTTAATGATTCCCACATCTTTAAATTTTTAAACATGTTCCTCCTAACCATGGAGTCACTTTATTGAGCTTTTAAATCTTGCAGTGCGGTTCTTTAGCATTTTATTAGGACAGTCTTAGGCTTAGCAGAAATGTACACTAGAGACATTAAATAGCAAAACGATTCTTACGTTAAGAAGAAGATTTGCTTTAGTCGAAATAGAAATTAAAAAACAGTCACAACCTTGACTGTAACGAATTCGTAATAGTTTAACCGATAGAGGGCGATATTACAATACCCTTTGGTAGATAGGACGCGAGTGCACACTTGTTACATTTACGTAAAATAACGGAAACGAACAGACTGGGGCGATGACTCGAAGATAATTTTGCTAAAGTGTAGTAAACTATATTTAGAGGTAAAGTAACATTGCAATTTTCACTTCAAACTTGAGGAACTTTCACGAACGTTAACGAGTAAAAGTAGTTTTAAACATTCAGAATAAAGTTGGCTAGAATATCTTTTATAAAAACGAACTGATGAATGAAGTGTTCTGTTATCTTGGAAAAAAAGGGGATTGACAAGGGGTGTGAGTTGAGCAGATGTAACGATTTTTCTCCGTTTGGCGGGGAGGGCATTGATCCTTTCATGCCCGAAAAATCGTTTTGAACCTTTGTTCCGACACCCACATGTTCCGACTGCTCATATTCCTATCCCTAATACTAGCCTCAACCATGATTTCTATCCCTAACCCAAACCCTAGCCCTAACCCTAACCGGGAGTAACACAATCTTATTTAAGGGTTGTCGGAACATAGGGGTGTCGGAACATAAAGTAGTCATGGGAACAAAATGAACAGAAAGACATGTTTGATTCAAGTCTCTCACAAAACAAGACGTGGCATTAGTCAGAGCACACAGAAATAAAAATCAATAGATTCAGCGTGGCTACTCACTGGAGGTACTTTCAAGCATGTGGCTTACACATGGGCTGAATTTCACCCATTTATTGGCGTGACAGTGTAATCCCATTTCCAACTTTTGGGCCAAAGTGAGACTTGAGCAAGTCTATATCAGGCCGTGAGCGAGACAGGCGGCGAGTTAGGTGCAAAGGAGACGATAGAGGGCGTGTGGTGGTAAAACCACTCCGTCACTTTCGACAGTGCATGAGGGTGCAGATTAGTAAATCGACTGCCAAAGACCTCAGTGATACTTAGGCGCACTTTCAAAAATATTTAAATACTCACAACTCTCCAATGTGTTTAAGACACCCATCAAATTAAAGCTTATTTCATCATCTTTCATTTTCTGTTCAATTTTTGTGTGGTAATTTGATGACTTTTGGGAAAAAATTCATCCAAATATGATCAATCCTAAAAGTAGTCCTGGAAAATGATGCCTGGCACCATTGCAAAATAGAGCAATTTTATAGGGGCAAATTTCATCCGAACTTCACAGAAATACGAACTTGCAGTCCTGTGCACGGCGTCCATCGATAGTTTTTACAAATTGTCAAGTTCATGGCCCACAGAATGCTCTGATAGCAAACAAATTGAGGGCATACGAATCGTAATTTGGCCCGCGTAGGTAATTTGGGGGCTTTTTACTGGTCTGCACCCTTTGAAATATCCGAAATTTTGCTATTTTCCCCCAAACTACTTTTACGGCAAGAGGAAGGATACATAACTCATATTAATTTCTGAGGTCCATATCAGGCCTGAACATGGGCGGTTTGTATACGCCTTGCCCAGCTGTAGAGCGCCCTCATGGTGTTAATTGAGTTCCGTCTCCTCCAAACCCCCAATCAATCCCCCCCCCCCCACTCTGTTTACTCGAAATTGTTGTATTCGGCTGGTGGCCTATCGGACCCCTGCAGATTTGGGGGCATATTTGTTTCGGATCCGCCCGTGGAGACGACTTTGAAATGCTGGTGCCCTGCCCCCCCCCCCCGGGTTCCGCCCACTGAAAATGCACTGTCGCAGCATAATCGTAAATAATTTAAAGTTTAAGCAAATTAAGTTTATGTAAATTAGGCCAATAGCCCGCGATCGTCCTGCGTATAGTCCCCCTTTTGTTGCAATGAACTTTTGGTCCCGCTCTGGGAATTCGCGCTGTTCAACCCACATTCCTGACCAGTGGAATGGACATTGAAATTTCCTGCCTGACTTAATTAAAAGCGCTGGAATTTCGCCGTTCTTCTGATTCTGAATTGAACTACAGTTTGCTGAGGTGTGGTCAAGAGACTCGCTGATGCCATACCGCCCGACCGTCAGGCTTGCTGATGCCACTGACGTGGCCGTGCCTTGCCCGTTGCCGTCTGCACGGGGCACGGTCCCTACCACCACGACGGCCAGATTGACCGCTGACTTGGCTATCCTTGGCTTGGGCCAGTATCATGGTCCCGTTAGCCGATGCCACGCCCTTCCGCTATGGCACTTCGTCGACTGGCCAACTAGCCCGATCGTTCCACTGACCCGGTCTGCACGTACGGCCCATCACACCAAGCTCCCGGTCTCGGAGGTCGCCGATCAAGACTCGGGTCGTGACAAAAACTCTTTCGCGACTTCAAAATTGCCGGCAAACTCAAGTCCAGGATTCCACCCTCTGGAGGTACCTCCCCTCTCACCAATGGCCAACCGTATGATTTACTTGATTTCGGTAATGTATTACGTAATTGCTTTTCCCATCTGCTTATTTAATCTGGTTCGTGTATGTTGATTTGTGAATTGTAAATAATTAAAATAATCATAATTTCATTTCCAAAAAGCCTCGATTCCGATCCACATTCATTTTAGTGTTCCTTTCCCATAATTTTGGTTTTGTCGGTTATGTTGTCTGCTAGGATTTGAGATGACTTCGTAACTCAGTCCTTTGCACGGCTTCCACCCATCGACCGTGCAAACCTTCAAGTTCACAGCCCACAGAATAGCAAAAAAATCGTGATTATGCCCGCGTAGGCAATTGTTGGCCTATTTATGGGTATTCCCCGAACCGGGCCCGGCCCACACCACATTGCAAAGGCGAAGTATAAACAACCACAGCCTCAGCTTATCAGTCGTGCTATCATGTCCAAGGTCTACTGAACAGTAAAACACACATGACTCGGCTTTATTTTGTTGACACATGATCTGAAGTATTGTTTGTGATTCTCTCTTACATGTTTTGTATAGACTAGACTTTGTGAACAAACAATCGCATATGAAGGTACCTGGGGAAATACCTTCAATGGGTTTAAGTCAACAATTACTGTGTAATCTGTTTCATTCTGGAGCAATTACAAGTCGGAGTTGAAAGCAGAAATTGGGAGTATATTTTCCACGAATGAATTAAGTATTTCAAAGGAGGAGTACATAATATTTGCATGTTATTCCTGCAAGTTATTGTTCTTTTAAAATCCCCCCCCCCCTCGCTTTTCTATTTTCTTGGGCCTGGCTAATTGAGGTTCAGGTTCATCCCCGACAAAATGATCTAAAAGCAAACAAATAGTGATTTGACCCGCGTAGGAATTGTTTTGCCAATTAGTGGGAATTCCCCGAACCCGTGCCCAACACAACATTGCACTGGCACCGCTATGGTGGCCCTGAAGCTTCTGCTTAACAATAAAACACGGGTTCATCTTATTGATCTAAAGTATTGTTTGTTATTCCTTTTAAATGTTTTGTATATCGGCTAGACTTTGTAATACCTTCAATGGGTTAAAGTCAACAATTTTAAAGGTCAGAGTTTAAAGCAGAAATTGGGAGTATATTTTCCACGAATGTTCTAGGTATTTTAAACAAGGAGTACATCATATTTGCACGTCATTCCTACAATTGTTTTTCAAAATTTCAACAATAAAATTTTTCCTGGAATGTTTTAGGCTACAATCAAAGTCATCAGCTCCCCCTAGAGTGCTGGTGAAATTAATCTTGAATTTACATGTAGTGTAATATCCGGCACAAGGTAGTGCGCGTCCGTTACATAAAATTGGCTATGAAGTTGCTCAAGTTTTTACAGAGTACAACACTGCATGATATATTCCTAGCCAGAACATTCCTGGCGAAGGTCGACCTCCCCCCCCCCCCCCCACATTGCAATTGAAACAAAATACTCCGCTGAAAAAAAAACTTTGGGACTTTAATGTTTACTTTAGAAATCCAAAGTCTGGTTTTGGGGCATATATATGATACATGAATCAGAGCTATAATCATTTGTGTAGTGACACTTTGTGCTTGAAGTCTGAAGTGAAAAGATTGCCATCATACCACGAAATATATTTTGTTTTATCAGACTAACGTAAACGATAGAAAAGATGCTAGCTCGAGGTAAGTGTAGTGTGTTCAATATATTTTTGCAAAATTAGTAATGAAACGGTTTAGTACATCAGCCCACAACTTTCTTATCCTATTTCGTCTGTAGAGACATGCCTTTTTTACATTCATTTGTTTCATTATTGAAATAAACACGACTGTTATATCCACAAAGACTGCAATTTCGCAGAGTGTAGTCTTACTTTGTAATAATGTTGTTCCACATGGCGATTCAGCGCAAGGATGATTTCTGGATGTCGTATATATTCACTGGGGTCCGCTCGTAAGTCCGACGCCTCGTATAGGTCCGACGCCTCATAAGTCATAAGTCCGACAAAATCGTATCACCCAACCAAATAAAGCATCATAAGTCCGACGTCTCATAGGTCAGACGCTTTATAAGTCCGACGCCCCATAGGTTCGATGCCTTATAGGTCCGACGCGTGTAGGTCCGACAATTAAATTTACTTTTATTTCAGTCCATACGTCCAACGCCTCATATGTCCGACGCCTCATTTGTCCGCCGACGCCTCGTACGTTTGTCCGCCGACGCCTTGTTAACTTTGTCGACAGCCATTATTAATGGATGCAAACATTGCGTAAAATGTTAGAATGTAAGCGCCACCAAGTGTTAGAGATTAAAGATAACACATTCACATTCACCACCACCCCCCCCCCCCCAATTTACGGCCGTGGCATTCATAAAAAAAAGTCTGACGTGACTACATTTTTCATGCTATGCACAGTGCGCACTCTCACGTTCGAAGAAGAACTCGCTCACATCGTCGTATAATTTTTGGTAAATCTCGTTCTTGCCTTGTCGGACAAAATAGACTTTTCTTTGTAACGGTCATTATCTCCGACGCCTCATCCGCGTCCTACACCTCGTTTGTCCGACGTCAGACTTATGAGGCGTCGGACATATAAGGTGTTTGGAGCTATGAGGCGGACTACATAAGCCTGAAACCTCATAAATCCGACGCCTCATAGTTCCGAAATGTCGGACTTATGAGGCGTCGGACTTACGATACGGCTCCTACTCGCTAAACCCCAGATACGTTTTTTGTTCACACCATTTCTCTCGCCAGGTCTTCTTGTGCTGGTCAGCATTGCTGTACTCCTTTTCGAGCCGGCTAGCTCCCAGCAAGGAACAGACCTTACACTCGTGTCCGGAGCATTCGGTACGGCAGTCGTGGAGGCTACCGTGTCGAAGATCGATCGCCTGACGAAACTGAGCACGGATCTGCGCGCAGACTACAGGTTCATTCGGCGCATCGCTTGGGTTGAAACCGATGACGGAAACGCGCCTTGGACCTACCTTGGCGATGTGTACCACGGCGGGATATGGAGAGTGGACAGCTCTGTCTATGACGCCACCTTGGCATTGTACAACAACCCGAGTTACGCTTCCACCTTTTATGACATCCAGCGGATCCTGGGCATAAACTGGAGCCAGAGTACTTGGCAAGACTGTCGCAAACCTCTGTACTCGGCCCTGGCTGCTCGACTGTATTTCCACAGTCTACAAGCTACTGTGCCACAGGTAAAGATAGGTTAGACCGGCTCTTGTTTGCTTTTCTCAGGTAAATATGTTGTTTTTTCCTCCGTTATAGGAGATTGGAAGGTAACATTAACAATACGATCTCTGTTTTTCAAAGACATGACCTTTGCGCAATATTTTACGACGAATAGTAAAATTTCACTAACAAGGTTCACGTGAGGTTTTCATAGATTTAGACGAATTCGTTGACAGATGATTTTAATTTTTGTTTTTGGACAGGGATTGAATGGCCAGGCTACATTTTGGAGTGACAGGTACCACGCTCAACCGACAGACACGGTGGAGAACTTCATCAGCAAGGTCGAAATTCTTGAAAGTGGAGGTTAGACATAAAAGATTTTGTTATATTTTTAAGCATGACAAAAAAATGAATGTATTATATCTAGGACAGACCTAAATCATTATATGAGGCAAGGTTTGTTTGTTGGGTTGTTTGTTTTTTCGGTGGTCGTCTGTTTGTGTGTTGGTAGATTGGATTGTTGGTTAATTGGTCGTCTTAAGGAAGTCAAGATCTTCGACTTTCCCAATGGTCGTCGTTTGATCGGTTGCCTGGTCTTGGTCGATAGACCTAAGTTGGTTGTTTGGTCAGGCGTTCGTTCGTTTGGTCGTTTGGTTGATCGGTCGAGTTTGATTGGTTTGGTTAATATGCCTAAGTCGTTAGTTCGGTCAATCGGTCCGTTTGTTCGATCGGTTGGTTGGTCGATTGGGTCCGACTTATTTGGTTGATGTGACTTTTCGGTTTGGGCATTAGCTTAAATCGGGTGATGAGTCATTTGTCTTTTATCTTGTTTTTAAATGTTTCTACGTATAGGATGTTCTGTCAAGGGCATAGATCTAGTCTTCATTTTGGACAGTTCAGGGAGTGTGGGATCTGCCAACTTTGAGACAACCAAGAACTTTGTTTCGAGTGTCGTTGACTCGTTTGCCATTGGTGCTGACAAGACCCGAGTCGGTGTCATCAAGTACTCATCTAGCGTTACAGTCGAGTTCAACCTGAACGCATACACCGACAAAACACAACTCAAGCAGGCAATTGAAAACATCAATCACAGTGGAGGTGGAACGGAGACAGTTGCTGCACTGACCGTCATGGAAAGTCAGGCCTTCCTAGTCGCGAACGGAGCCCGACCCGACGACGAACCAGTATCTCGTGCGGCAGTTGTCATCACAGATGGGCAGTCACAGGGGGCAGCGGCCGTGGCAGTACCGGCAGACCGAGCTAGGGAGAAAGATATCAATATGTTCGCTATCGGAGTGACTAGTAGTGTGAATGATGACGAGCTAAACGCTATTGCAAATAAACCCAATGACACCTACGTGTTCCACGTCAGTAATTTCGACGCCATCGACAACATTGTGGCCACCCTTGAAGACAAAACATGTAATGGTAAGTTCATTGGAACAGTTAATGTTGGATTCTCAGTCGTGTGTACCATACCATCACCATTTTGCCTATTTCACCACCGCCATATGGGCGTCGCAAGTGCCCCCGGTGCACCCCCGCCCCGGAAAAGCAAACAAAGAAAGGGAACAAAATGAAGCAGACGAGGGGCGAATCATAATTGAGTTTCATTGTTAATTCAGTGTCAAATTAACAATGTGGACGTTTTTTATTACAAAGCGTCGAGTTATGTCTCTCGATAATTCCACGGCCGGTGATTTCTCCCTTCGCTTCTGATGAGTGTTTGCCCCCCGCCCCCCCCCCGAGCAAAATCCTGGCGGCCTTCATGACCACCACCATTGACATCATCAACCTAATTGTTATGAAACTAAACTATATTGCCATCATCGCTATCACTGTCGTAATTATCATCCGGTTCACCATCACTATACCAGTCTTCACCGTAGAAATATATAAATAAAATATTTAACAAAACTTAAAGCAACCCGTGCTTAATGTCCATTAACAGCTCCCACCCCTATTCACGTACCGGTGCTCAACAGTTCTCTCAGCCTTGGAGAAAAGCAAATCTTGGCACAGGTGGTCCCGGAAAGTGGAGTCACCCTAGGCATCGAAGCTGCAGAAGGCAACGTGGTCATGTACATCTCCACGACCACACCCAACCCTAACGAGGCACTTCATGACTACCGCCTGGAAGCGAGAGAGGGTCAGGGAAGGGCGGAAGTCTTCATCAGTCCTGATGCATTCAAGGACGAAGGGAACTTCTCTATCCAGACTGATGGTGGCCGTAACCGAAGACAGGTGAGTGAGGAAAAAACATTTTCCTAAAACCCTTATGTAAAGGAGGTGAATGGCTAATAGGACGTGAACCGACGACCACCGATACACACATCTGTTGCCCCTTAACAAGTGTCTTCCGATCATCTGGTTTTATAGGCGAGTCAGAATGACACCGGAGATGGTTCCCCCATCGGCACTGTGTATATGACCATAGAGGGCCTGCAGGATACCAACGATTTTGTGTTGGAGGTGACAGAAGGTGACGTCACTGATCCTGTCACTGATCCTGTCACTGATCCTGTCACTGATCCAGTCACTGATCCTGTCACAACTGAAGAGCCAGAGACCACGAGCGAGTACTCTTCACCTACAGCTGGGGCTTCAGCTCATGCTACGGTTTACATCAGCGTAATGATGAAGGCTCTTGTTGCTGCTCTGTTTATCAAATCTGCGCCGTTTTAGATTGCGGAGTGACGTGATGTAGTGCGGGGTCACACGTTCTAGCCTCATCGAAAATTCGTACAGTCAAAACGAAAAGGCACTTTTAAACCGTCACCATCGAAGCACATTTTACTCAGAATAATTGCTGCATTTGATAACATTTGAAGTTGTTACTGTATTCCATTGTAGGATAGCAACACATCAGAACGGCGTGTTAGTTAAAAGATACTCAAAGAATTGAAATAGTTCAATTGCACTTTTAGCACATCTTACTCAGAGCATTGTGAACATAATTGTAATACTTGAAGACTTGTATGTTTTTCTTCATTCACAGAGATCATGCATTTCTTCCTTTAAGAAAGTAGGCATAATGCTTAAAACGCGAATTCAGTATTCACACAGCATATACACAGAATGGCTTCTTCCTTCAGAAAAAAATTTTTTTTGTTATGTTGACAGGTGCACCAAAATGTTAAAAATAAAAATCGTTGAGAATTTACACTTGCGCAGTAATATAAGTTCAGCGGAAATATCGTTGCCCTTTGCCACAATTTATAACTGGAGAATTCATGAACTATAAAATAATGTGTACTTTTGTAAAACAAAGTAAAAATGATAGATTTGTGCATCGTGATTTTTTTTCTGTTTACAGGTGCACTGAATTGTTGAAAGTAAAAATTAAATGAGAATGTCCACTTACGCAGTCACATAAGTTAAGCGGAAATATCGTTACCGTTTGCCACAATCTATAACTGAAGGATGAACTTATCAAATTGTACTTTTTACTGCAGCTATAAAACAAACTCAAAATGAAAGAATTTGCAGTGGTTATAAGCACTTGGATTTGCTACACACTTATTTCCTGTACTCGGAGTTTCGGCTTAATTCAAATTGCCGATAAAGTTGTTTATAAGAATGTATTATGTTATCAAATACACAGACATAATAGAACACAGCAATATGTTATCAAGAATATATCTCTCATTAAAATTTGCAGCCACAAAACAAAGTAACATTAAAAAGATTCCTTCATTGTTTTTTGTTACGGATAAAGATTGTTCGGGTCAACTGCGGAGTCAAGTCCTATGCGTGCGTCTCAGAAACAAGAGAGGGCGCTCTGAGTGCGCCATACTGTCACATCGATAAGGTTGTCGCTCTCGAAAATTGGCTGAAAATGTCCAATGATGTTTGATACACCCAAATACACGCACTCCCCCAAAAAAACCAAATTGACAACCTCTTGGGGGGGGGGGTAATCTTTTCCGATCTTTTTTTTGGGGGGGGGGGGGGCGGGGGCAAATATTTATTGCAACCTTTGGTTTTGTCTCTAATCCAGGTGCCGGCTTATGCAGCATTATCGTAAATCTTATGCAGGTTCCACGTAAATCTTAAATTCATTCTTTTCACGTGTGCGGCCTTGATTCACAGCTGCTACCGTACAGTATCGAAAATATTGTCTAAAGACAACTATCGTTCGCCCTTAATGCATGAACCATGATTTTGTGTAGTCTACGCTTCCACGTGCAGCATTTTGTGCTTGACGTCTGAAGTGAGAGGATTGACATCGTACCGCGCAACACATTTTCTTTTGGATCGGACTGACGTAAACGACAGAAACTATGCTAGCTCGAGGCAAGTGCTTTTCATTAAAAGTATTTTTCAACATTAGTAATGACATTATAAGTTAAGTTCGTAAGCCCTCAAAATTCTATTTTGCTTTTTTTTTTATTCTGTAGAGATAAAACTTAGGTATACATTCATTCGTCTCATTAATGGAAAAAAAAACACGAACGTTACTATATCCTCAAAGACTGAATTTCTCAACTTTGCTTTTGTTTCAAAGGGCGAATTAGCGCAAGGATGAATTCTGGATGTCATCGATCTACTCACTTTACCCCAGACACATATTTTTTCTTCGTACAATTTCTCTCGCCAGGTCTTCTTGTGCTGGTCAGCATTGCTGCTTTCTTTTCCGAGCCGGCTCGCTCCCAGCAAGGAACAGACCTGACTATCCTTCCCGGAGCACGCGGCGCAGCTGTCGTGGAGGCTACCGTGTCGAAGATCGATCGCCTGACGGCACTGAGCACGGATCTGCGCGCAGACTACAGGTTCATTCGTCGCATCGCTTGGGTTGAAACCGATGACGGAACCGCGCCTTTGACCTACGATGGCGATGTGTACCACGGCGGGATATGGAGAGTGGACCGCTCTGTCTATGACGCCACCTTGGCATTGTTCAACAACCCGAGTTACGCTTCCATCTTTAATGACATCCAGCAGATCCTGGGCATAAACTGGAGCCAGAGTACTTGGCGAGACTGTCGCAAACCTCTGTATTCGGCCCTGGCTGGTCGACTGTATTTTCACAGTCTACAGTCTACTGTGCCACAAGTAAGTCAAAAGCTCTTGTTTCTCTTAATGTTTTTCTTAGCTGTTGTTTTTGTTGAAGTTATGTTATGATGACGTCATCATTAGTCACGTGACGTCATCTTAAATGTGCATGATTTAAATGTCTATTTCCAGAGTTCTAGAGAACCTATTGCACTGAAACTTTGTAAATATATAGTCACCTATGTCTTAAAAATGTAAATGATTATGACGTCATGGTGACGTATTCATGTTATTTTTAATTGATGTTTAATTTTTTTTCCACACTCGCATACTATCTTGTGTACGTCTCCACACTACACAGACGAATGCAGGGCAACGTGCAGCCCCGTCAGTCACGTGCGCTTATACTGCGCCCCTTGACATTTCTCACAAGGGGAATTCCTTAAATTCTGCTAGTCTCCAAACCAGCCGCACCAAAATTCACCACATGCACTCTGTTTTCCATAGGATAGATAACAAATGTTCTCGTTCAACACCCCACAAATGTTGCACAAAATGCAATCACGTCTTGATGACGTCATCGTGTGATTGCATTTGAAATTTTCAATGTTTAGACCCTCCAGTCATATCTCATGAAACGGACCATGGTAACTTCAACATTCGTCTGGTAATAGGTTTGTTTGGTAAAAGATATATGCACACAATTTCGAAAATGTGTGGTGTCATCATGAAGTCAACAATATGTGGATATTTTAAACACATACAAGAGAATGTCCGATCGTTATTAAAATTGGTGGGAAAGTAGGTATTGATAATAGTATTAAAAATCTGAAGTGACCGCATCATGACGACATCGACTGATTTTCATGTTTAAAGTTTAAATATTTTCTTCTAATTATAAAACGACATGAAATGCGATCAGATTGATTTCAAACTAGGTACAGAGCGAGACCCTCAGCTAATGTTGCTCCAAAACAATTGGAGCTCCAAATCCAAATCGTCATGATGACGTCATATTATTCATATGACGTCATCTACATTTTGCTAATTTCACTAAATTCACTTCTACACAGCCCACTATTTTTAGAAGACTACTCATGTTCATGTATATTCGACTTGGATGAAATTCCTACATGGCAGTTGTTGCTAAAACAGTCAAACAGCTATGGGTGACGTCATCATGACGTCATCAACTGTTTTTTTATTTAAATATTTCTTTTTATTGCAAAAATGTACATAAAATGCAATCAGATTGACTTCAAAACAGGCAAAGACCAACATCCTCACCTTACATTGTTTCTAAATAAATGACGTCGTGATAACGTCATCATTAGTCATGTGACGTCATCTTAAATAGGCATAATTTAAATGTCTTTATCCAGAGTTCTAGAGAGCTAATTGCATTGAAACCTATAGCATATGTGTTAAACATGGAAATAATTATGACTTCATGGTGATGTAAACATGTGATTTTTAATTGATTTTTCTTTATTTTCCCCGCACTCCCTTATCTTGTGCACGTCTCCACAGTACGCACACTAAATATGGGGCCAGCAATGGGCAGCCATAAACGTACGGCAGTCACGTAGGCTTATACCGCGACCCGTGACATTTCTCACAAGGGGAATTCCCTAAATTCTGCTAGTCTCCAAACCAGACTACATCTACTTCGCAACATGTTTTCGCTCAACACCCCACTTTGGGACTTTTTTTCACATCCGATCAACAATTAGTCCACCATCTGAAGAATACTCATGTCCATGTACATTGGACTTGGATGAAACTCCTGCATATCAGTTGTTACTAAAACAGTCGAAACAAACACAAGTCTAGTTTTTGTTGTTTTATTTTCAAAGTCTTTCCACAATTTAAGAAAATCTATTGAGTGCTTTCTTTCTGGATGTTTTGACAGGGACTGAATAATCAGGCGACATTATGGAGAGATAGATACCACGACCAACCGACAGGTACGGTGGAGAATTTCATCAGAAAGGTCGACATTCTTGAAAGTGAAGGTAAGACATCGAAACCAATCACCACTTTTTAGATTAAAAGTACAAATATTAAAAGGTTGTGGTTAACTTTTTTTTCTTACATTCGTGGTTGTTTTAGGAATTTTTATTTGTCTGTCGTTTACAAAGTGGACGACATGATAATCGAGAATTTTGCTTCAAATAGCACAATTAACATAGCTCTCGAGCTTTCTGGTAGTTATGTCACGATGACGTCATCAAGTATCAGACTACAAGCAACCAAAGATTTCTAGATTTAATCTTTGAAAAGCAATATAACATAAACTGTTATAGATTTGATTTTGCTTTTTACGGGAATTGATAGAATAATCCAGGGTCCTCATTTTTGATATACGTGTCAAATCACGTGACCCTTTCTTCCGGTTGAAACTGGAAGTGGCTCGTAATTCGAAATTGGAAAAAGATGTGAACTTGCTTTGAACAATGTTAGTCTCTGGCTTGGTTTTACTTTAAAAAAATATTACCGGTGACGTCATAAGGTGTTAAAGCGCCCTCTTGTGACACGTTGAACATGTTTGAAATGAATAATCAGTTGATGTTCCTTTTCGCGAAGTTAGCTGAAATCATTTTATAATTGGTGTATATAATTGGCTTCATGCTAAGAACAAGATTTTTGACATTGATTTTTCCTTCAAATAACACAGTTCACATAGCTCTCGAGCTTTCTGGTAATGACGTCATCACGAATCAAATTACAAGCAACCAAAGATTTCGACGTTTAAATTTTTGAATATCAATATAAAATCAACTGTGAGAGATCTGATTTTGCTTTTTTTACGGGAATTTATAGAATAATCCAGGGTCTACTTTTTTTACATGAACAAAATACCATATATAACACTTGTACATATACATCCGACTTGGATGAAGATCCTACATGACAGATGTCACTAAAACAATGTATAATGTGTATAATGTGTTTGTCCACAAACACAATTCAAGTCTTGTTTTTATTTTTTTCTTCATAGGATGTTCTGTCAAGGGCATTGATCTAGTCTTCGTTTTGGACAGTTCAGGGAGTGTGGGACCTGCTAATTTTAACATAACAAAGAACTTTGTTTCGAGTGTAGTGGACTCGTTTGACATTGGTGCCGACAGGACCCGAGTCGGTGTCATCAAGTATTCCGGTGACGTAACAGTCGAGTTCAACCTGAACGAATACACCGACAAAACACAACTGAAAGAGGCAATTGGAAACATCATTTACAGCCAGGGTGGAACGCAGACAGTTTCTGCGCTGAACGTTATGGAAAGTCAGGCCTTCCTAGTCGAGAACGGAGCCAGACCTCTCATCAATGCAGTATCGCGAGCAGCAGTAGTAATCACGGACGGGCAATCACAGGGGGCAGCGGCCGTGGCAGTACCAGCAGACCGAGCTAGGGAGAAAGATATCAAAATATTCGCCATTGGCGTGACTGTTAATGTGAATGACGACGAGCTAAACGTCATTGCTAACAAACCCAATGAAACCTACGTGTTCCACGTCAGTAATTTCGACGCGATCGGCAACATTGTGGCCTCTCTTGAAGAACAAACATGTAATGGTAAGTTACGATTGGTACGATTTCCGTTCCCCATTCTCGTCCTTATTACCCACCACCTCCATTGTCACCATCAACCTAATTGTTATCAGGGGGCCTATCGCCGTAATTTCAATCATTGTCTTTATTAAGTTAGGCTTCACCATCATTGTGAACTATGTAAACAGTCATCGTAATTATATAAACTAAAAGAAAATCAACCTCTATTTAATTTGTATGAATAGCTCCCACCCCTCTCCGCGTGCCGGTGCTCAACAGTTCTCTCAGCCTTGGAGACGTGCAATTCCTGGAACAAGTGGTCCCGGAAAGTGGAGTCACCCTAGGCATCGAAGCTGCAGAGGGCAACGTGGTCATGTACATCTCCACGACCACACCCAACCCTAACGAGGCACTTCATGACTACCGCCTGGAAGCGAGAGAGGGTCAGGGAAGGGCGGAAGTCTTCATCGGTCCTGATGCATTCATGAACGAAGGGAACTTCTCTATCGAGACTGATGGTGGTCGTAAGCGAAGACAGGTGAGTGAGAAAATAACATTTTCCTGAAACTTTTAATTCTGTAAACACTCGATCGCATGATCTTACGGTGTGTTATCTTGGTTGAGAAGCAATTAACTGGCTGGAGTAGGACGTGAACCTACGACCACCGATACACGGACCTGTTGTCTCTTAACTCGTGTCTTCTGATCATCTGTATTTATAGGCACCGAGTCAGAATGACACCGGAGATGGTTCCTCTATCATCGGCACTGTGTATATGACTATAGAGGGCCTGCAGGATACCAACGAGTTCGTGTTAGAGGTGACAGAAGGTGACGTCACTGAGCCGGAGGCCACAGTTACACCAACTACAGCTGGGGCTGCAGCTATGACTACGGTTTACATCAGCGTAATGATGAAGGCTCTAGTTGCTGCTCTGTTTATCAAATCTGCGCTGTTTTAGATTGCGAAGTGACCTCGAGAAGTGCGGGGTTAGGCATCCTCAACGAAAATTCGTACAGTCAAAACGAAAAGGCACTCTTAAACCGTCACCTTTGAAGCACATGTTACTCAGAATAATTGCTGCATTTGATAACATTTAAAGTTGTTACTGTATTCCATTGTAGGATAGCAACACATCAGTAGGCCGTGTTGGTAAAAAGATACTTAACGAAATAAGCTACTTCACCCACTCGTTAAGCACATTTATATTAGAGCATTGCGAACATAATTTGCAATAGTCGTAGACTTATTATATTTCTTCACCCACATATTTCATGCATTTCTTCCTTAAGAAAGTAGGCATAATGTTTAAAATGTGTATTCAGTATTTACACAGCATATACACAGAGTGGCTTCTTCCTTCAGAAGAAAAATGCCCTTTTGATTTTTTTCTGCTCTCGATAGGTGCACCAAAATGTTGAAAATACAAGTCGCTGTGAAGTTACACTATGCAGTAACATAAACTTAACGGGTTTATCGTTACCATTTGCCACAATGTGTAAAAGGGGACGAACTTATCAACGTGTCCTTCTGAACTGCAGCCATAAAACCAAGTAAAAATGAAAAATGCTTTTAAGTGGTTATAAGCACTTGGATTTACTGCACACTTATTTCATGTACTCAGAGTTAAGGCTTAATACTTAAAGTTACCGATAACCTTAAAACTGTTTATAAGCATACAAGTCATTATGTTATTAAGTATACAGCCAGAATATTAGGAATATGGCCAGATATCTCTTTAAAATTTGCAGCCATAAAACAAAGTAAATATGAAAGATTCGCTCAATAGTTTTGATTGCGGATAAAAAGTGTTCGGGCTAGTTACGGAGTGATGCGCGTGTATTTTCTTCAGAAACAAGAGAGGGCGCACTGAGTGCGCCATACTCGGAGCCGTATGTAGAGAGAGTTGCGACATGAGGGGGTCGCACTGTTTGGAAATGAATGACCGATTTTCAGAAGTGAATGTACATTTTAGGAAATTGGCCGGGAAAACCTATATTACCAAGATCTATGGGAGTCAACTTACTGGTGGCCTGCACTTTATAGACTTTCAAAATGGACATGGCCACGCATGAAGTCTAGGCCCCAGACATCAGTGATCAAAAGATCTGCTATTTTTAATGAGAAAAACCGTACCTTTCATTGCACATTCACGAACTTGTATTCCAAAACTCTGCGCGAAAAAAAAAGGTATGCTTGCGTACATGAATGCACAGGTAACGTAATTGACGGTCTGTTTCTCAAAACCGAATGCACGGACAATGAAAACGATTGAACTTTCGTTGAATTGACATGGGTTAAAGACATGCATTCCAATTCAGACAAAATTGAATGAACGATTTTCAGAAGTGAATGAACGTTGCAGGAGATTGGCCGGGAAACCCTACAATTACGCGAAATTAAAAAGAAAATATTAAACAAATACTCACAACTCTCCAATGTGTTTGAGACACCCATCAAATTAAAGCTAACGTCATCATCTTTAATGTTCTGTTCACATTTTTTGGGTAGTAATTCCCTGTCATTTTTTTTCTGAGGGGGATGCATCCAAACATGTTCACATCTACAAATAGTTCTGCAGCCCATTGCCACTTTGAAAAATGATGCCTGCGCTTCATTGCAAAATAGAGAAATTTTAGGGCCCAATTTCACACGAATTTCACAGTACAGAAATACGAGCTCGCAGTCCTGTGCACGGCTTCCTTCCATCGTTTTTACAAACCCTCGAGTTCATGGTCCACAGCCTAAACAAACGTGATTTGGGAAATTTTGGGGCTATTTAAGGGAATTCCCCGAACCCGCACCCCACGCCTAATTGTACTGGCACCTGTTGTGTTTGCTTCAGGCAAACGTCGTTTTTCACAGCGACAGCCTCAGCAATAGGCCTGCTATCCTGTCCATCGTCTACTGCCTATTTTTTTAAACAGTAAACGACTTGGCTACATTTTGTTCACTGATCTAAACTATTGTTGCTTCCCTCTTACATATTGTGTATTGGCCAGTCTTTGTGAGCATGCAATGATAAGCAGGTACCTCATTAGGAAAATACCTTCACGGTAAAAGTCAATACAGTCTATCATGTGCTTCAGTAAATTCTGCTGAATCCGGAATGCAAGAAAGCTTGGGGTTTAAAGGAGAAACTGGGAGTAACACTAGGTATTTCATCTAATGATTAGGCCTACATCTGCCGGTAACTCCTGCATCAGATTCTCTTCTTACGAATTCCAACATTAAACATTCATGGAAAGCGTTATGATACAGACAAAAATGTCAGCTTCCTCTAAATTTCTGGTAAAATTAATAATGAATTGCCTTCAAGTGTAATATCCGGTAGAAGGTAGTGCGCATGCGCTACATAAAAAGGTGCTCTAAAAATTGCTCCAGTTCATTACAAAAGTACAAAACTGCACGAAATATTCCTCTGCACACAAAACAGTGCACATACCACATATATGTTTCCCCATAACACTCCTACCGAGGATCGAATCTTCCCCTCCAATAAAAAAAATATTCAGCTGAACTCTAAAGTTTGGAACTTTAATGTTCACTTTAGAAATTCAAAGTCTGGGTTTTTTTGTAGGGCAAATATTCATTGAATCCTTTGGTATTGTCTCTGATCCAGGTGCCGACTTACATACAATATTATAACAATAGACGTTCCCCATAAGCCTTCAATTCATTCTTTTCATTCCGTTACGTGGGTGGCCATGATCCACGGGTCCTACTTGCACTTTCAAAAATAACTTTTCTAAAGAAAACTATCGTTCGCCTACCATGCATGAACCATATTTATTTTTGTATTCTACGCTTCCTTGCGCTAGCAGCATTTTGTGCTTGAAGCCTGGAGTGAGAGGATTGACATCGTACCGCGCACACATATTCTTTTGGATCGGACTTACGTAAACGACAGAAACTATGCTAGCTCGAGGTATTGCATTTTATTAAAACGTATTTTTCAATATTAGTAATGACAAAAGTTAAGTTCGTAAGCCCACAACATTCTATTTTTTTTTTATTCTGTAGAAACAAAAATTATGTATACATTCATTCGTCTCATTATTGAAAAAAAAAAACACGAACGTTACTATTAACCTCAAAGACTGAATTTCTCAAAGTGAAGTATTACTTTAATGCTCTTGTTTCACACGGCGATTCAGCGCAAAGGATGATTTACACATATTTTTTCTTCGTAAAATTTCTCTCGCCAGGGCTTCTTGTGCTGGTCAGCATTGCTGCCTTCTTTTGCGAGCCGGCTCGCTCCCAGCAAGACCTTACTATCCAACCCGAAGCACGCGGCACGGTAGTCGTGGAGGCCACCGTGTCGAAGATCGATCTCCTGACGGCACTGAACACAGACCTGCTCGCAGACTACAGGTTCATTCGGCGCATCGCTTGGGTTGAAACCTCTGACGGAACCGCGTCCATCACCTACGATGGCGATGTGTACCACGGCGGGATATGGAGAGTGGACCGCTCTGTCTATGACGCCACCTTGGCATTGTACAACAACCCGAGTTACGCTTCCATCTTTAATGACATCCAGCGGATCCTGGGCATAAACTGGAGCCAGAGTACTTGGCGAGACTGTCGTATACCTCTGTACTCGGCCCTGGCTGCTCGGCTGTATTTTCACAGTCTACAGTCTATTATCCCACAAGTAAGTGAAAATTTAAATTGCTTTGTCATTTTGTGGTGCAAAATGTACCCAAAATAAACCAAGATCTCAACAACTTCGTCTGAAAACAGGTTCAAAGGATTTGTCACTCCATTCCCCGAAAAAAATACACTTTGGTTTTCACAACTATCCCTGGTTTTTAATTTTTTTGGGCATTACATGTTAGGTGAATTGTTTGCTTTTTTTGCATTACATATTAGGTGAATTGTTTGCTTTTAGGGACTGGAGGGGAAGTATTCTAACTGTTTGAAATATACTAAATTATTTTGAATTATTGGTGTTGTATTTTTAAAGTCTTTCCACAATTTAAGCAGAATTATTGAGTGCTTTCTTTTTGGATGTTTTGACAGGGACTAAATAATCAAGCGACATTATGGAGTAATAGATACCACGACCAACCGACAGATACGGTGGAGAATTTCATCAGTAAGGTCGACGCTCTTGAAAGTGAAGGTAAGACATGGAAACCAACAACACTATTTGGATTAAAAGTACAAATACGGGGAAAGGTTGTGAATACTTTTTTTTACATTCGTATAGTTGTTTTGGGATTTTTTTGTCTATAGTTTTCAAAGTGGTCGGCATATCACTGGTCGTGTGCTCACTGCTCATGTTAAGCCAAGATTTTGCTATACGAAATAGTCGGAGGTAGACTGTTCGTTCAATCAAATGGTCAGTAGGTTTGTTGGTCAGTCGGTCAGACAGTTGATTGACCAGTCATCTTGTTGGTATATCTGGCAGTTGATTGATCAGTATTAAGCCAGTCGTCATGCAGCTGGTCGGTTGGTTGGTCAGCGGTCAGTCAGTCCGACAATCGGTTGGTTGCGTCATCGTGTGTTGATTGTGTTGTAGTTTGTTTATCATATGAATTTCATTCCTATTTGTCTAGAATGCGATCAAGGCATAGATCTTGTCTTTGTCTTGGATAGTTCAGGGAGTGTGGGATCTACTGACTTTGGGCTGACCAAGAACTTCGTATCAAATGTCGTGGACAACTTCAACATCAGTGCGCACGAGACCCGCGTCGGTGTCATCAAGTATTCCGGTAGTGTTACAGTCGAGTTCAACTTGAACAGATACACCGACAAAACACAGCTCAAGCAAGCAATTGGAAGCATACAGCACGTCGGTGGTGGTACTAATACAGTTGATGCACTGGAGACTATGGAAAGTCAGGCCTTCCTAGTCGAGAACGGAGCCAGACCTGACACCAATGCGGCATCTCGAGTAGCAGTAGTAATTACGGACGGGCGGTCACAGGGGGCAGCGGCCGTCGCAGTACCGGCAGACCAAGCTAGGGAGAGAGGCGTCACTATCTTTGCCATCGGTGTGACTAGCAATGTGAATGACGATGAGCTAAACGCCATTGCTGACAAACCCAACGACACCTACGTGTTCCACGTCAGTAATTTCGACGCGATCGGCAACATTGTGGCCACCCTTGAAAAAAAAACATGTAAAGGTAAGTTTATAAAAAAAAAATTCCTCTGGATAAAACCTGTTATTGTTAATTTGTATGCACCAACAAACATCCCACAAACATCGGCCATCGTGATGACTAAATGCTTAAAAAAAATATGTTTCTCGTTCTCACCACCGCACTACATCTATATACAAGATAGTGAAACTACTTTTGCTGACGTTGCTGCTGCTGCTGTTGGTGTTACTGATGGTGGTGGTGTTGGTTTTTTTTTTACTTCTGTTGTTTTATTTAACCTTTTAATTGTTTGAACCACTACTCTTGAACCCGACAGATTCCACCCTTCTTCTCGTGTCTGTGGTCAACAACACGCTCCGCCGTGGAGTTAAGCAATACTTGCAACAGATGGTCCCGGAAGATGGAATCACCCTAAGCATCGAAGCTGCAGAAGGCGACGTGGTCATGTACATCTCCACGACTACACCCAACCCTAACGAGGCACTTCATGACTACTACCTGGAAGCGAGAGAGGGTCAGGGAAGGGCGGAACTCTTCATCGGTCCTGATGCATTCATGAACGAGGGGAACTTCTCTATCCAGACTGATGGTGGCCGTAAGCGAAGACAGGTGAGTGAGAAAATATCATTTTCCTGAAACTTTTAATTCTGTAAACACTCGATCGCATGATCTTACGGTGTCTTATCTTGGTTGAGAAGCAATTAACTGGCTGGAGTAGGACGTGAACCTACGACCACCGACACACGGACCTGTTGTCTCTTAACTCGTGTCTTCTGATCATCTGTATTATAGGCACCGAGTCAGAATGACACCGGAGATGGTTCCCCTATCGGCACTGTGTATATGACTATAGAGGGCCTGCAGGATACCAACGATTTCGTGTTGGAGGTGACCGAAGGTGACGTCACCGATCCTGTCACTACCCAGCCGACAACTGAAGAGCCAGAGGCCACAGCTTCTCCAGGGAGTGATCACACTTCACCTACAGCTGGGGCTGCAGACACTTCAACTACAGCTGGGGCTGCAACTAAGACTACTGCTTACATCAGTGTAATGATGAAGGCTCTTGTCGCTGCTCTTTTGATGAAATCTGCACAGTTTTAGATTGTGGGGTGACTTCGAGAAGTGCGGGGTTAGGCATCCTCAACACCCTGATTCGTACAGTTAAAAGCGAAAAAGCATTTTTAAAGCCGTCACTTCCGAAGCGCATTTTACTCAGAATAATGTATGCATTTAAAAACAGTTAAAGTAATTACTTATATTCCATTGTAGGATAACAACACATTAGTACGGCAAGTTGGTAAACAGATACTTACACCGAAATAAAATAGTTAACAGAAATACTTAACAGAAATAGTTCACTTACACTTTTAGCACATCTTACTCAGAGCATTGTGAACATAATTGTAATACTTGAAGACTTGTATGTTTCTTCATTCACAGAGATCATGCATTTCTTCCTTAATTAAAAATAGAAAGTAGACCTAATGCTCATAACATCTTTATTTGGTATTTAAACAACATTTACATTTACACAGAATATCTTCATCCTTCAGTAAATTGCTCCTGTGATTATTTTCTTTCTGTTGACAGGTGCACCAAAATGTTGGGGGAAAAAATCATTGAGAATTTACACTTATGCGGATGTAATGAATCGCAGTAGCAATAGTTAAGCAGAAGTATCATTACCATTTATAACTGGGTATGAACTTTAATGTATACTTTGTAGTGAGAAAAAAAATCAATGATTAAGTCAGAAATCTCTGTAAAATTTGCAGCCATAACACAAAGTAAACGTGAAAGATTCGCTGATTATGTTTGTCTTCGAGTATGTGGAGTGAAGTCATAAGCGTGTACCTACTTCAGAAGCAAAGGAGGGCGCTCTGATCGAGCGCGCCATACTGTCACATAAATTATATTTTTGTCGCTTGTGAAAATTCGCTGAAAACGCCCATTGATTTGGCACCGTATGTTTGATACGCCCAATGTTGTGAGTACATTTTGATCATTGTAAATTGAAATAGAGTCAAGGTTTACAAACCTCGAATAACAAACCTCAAATGCGGTAAAATGTGGCATATTTTGTGCATTTAATTGAAAGGACTGGAGGTTATGTTGAGCACATGAATTAATGTTACAAGATTGTTCAGGAGAGAATATTCACATGCAACGGTAAAATCATTTTCTTGATGGATTAAAACATGAAGATTTTTGTAAACACTGAAGGACTAGGGTGAATTAAGTGGATATAAATTGCGACGGGCAGGAAATTATTCAATTTCATGTTGAGGAGAAGTCAGCCAGTTTCATTAACAGATCATATTATAATCTATACTCTTCAAGTATGTGAAGGTGCATTTTGTCTGAATTATTAGATACTTATCGTAGTGTTGGTGTTATTATTAATTGCAGATTGAACCACACACACCTGTGAGTAGGCACACGCTCTAAAACACACGACTCGGTAGTTGCTACTCGATCGGTTGAATAACAAGGGCAGAGATGTATAGCATTACAATTTGTCACCTTCGTCATCTTTGGATTTTTCTTTCCTTTAAGCGTCACAATTGTTGTTGCCATGCTTTTCTCCGTGGACTGTGCATGATTGGAGCAAAAGTTCACACGGATTTCAAATTCAAGGGTGCTTCATAATGCATTGTGTACTTAGCAGTATCGCGTGGTACACATGCTGTGCTGCCAGCCCAAAACGAACAATGCTGTAGCCTCGGTCAAGGCGCTAGTTGATATTCATCCGGCCGTAACGCGGTAAACGATATCTTCACTGGCGCTATGCATGCAGTCATATGTCTATGCATGCAGTGCATTAAAAATACAGCGCGAACAGCGACCTCACGCGGCCACTATTTTTATGCAAATCAGTTGGACCGATACATGTGCGAAATTCTTAAAAAGGGCAGGTGCCACAACAAAGGGCACCAGTTCTGTTTGGAAAAGGGCACTTATTTAGAAAAAAAGGGCACTTCGAAAAAAAATGGGCACTCTTTACAAATTATTGGGGGGGGGGGGTAAGCCCGTTGAAAAAAAAGGCAGTTGAATGGAAAAGGGCAGTTATTACAAAATATAGGGGGTGGGGACGGGGGGGGGGGGTAAATACCCTTCCCCCCCCCCCACCCCACCCCCACCCCCTCCCGCTGGCTACGCCTATGACCGGCGTGTTTATGATCGATGATAATTTGCACGAAGTGGTGACGGGTTTTTCCGGATGTACCTCCGTGTGTCGTAACGATTCGTTTTTAATCACTTTGTGTTTTGATTTTGTCGGGGTTAGGCAAGTGTTGTTTTTTTAGCACGACTACATTTTGTCCGTTGTGACCCTCGAAATGGAAGGAAAGCTGACAGGAGGTATGTTGTCATTTGATCAAGTTGTTTAATATAAATACATTAATACGAACACGAACTTTACTCTCCTCAAAGACTGAATTTCTCAAATTGTAGTCTTTCTTACAGCGCAAGGATGATTTCTCGATGGCATACTCACTTGACCCCAGACACATATTTTTTCTTCGTACAATTTCTCTCGCCAGGTCTTCTTGTGCTGGTCAGCATTGCTGCCTTCTTTTCCGAGCCGGCTCGCTCCCAGCAAGGAACAGACCTGACTATCCTTCCCGGAGCACGCGGCACGGCTGTCGTGGAGGCTACCGTGTCGAAGATCGATCGCCTGACGGCACTGAACACGGATCTGCGCGCAGACTACAGGTTCATTCGGCGCATCGCTTGGGTTGAAACCGATGACGGAAACGCGCCTTTGACCTACGATGGCGATGTGTACCACGGCGGGATATGGAGAGTGGACCGCTCTGTCTATGACGCCACCTTGGCATTGTACAACAACCCGAGTTACGCTTCCATCTTTAATGACATCCAGCAGATCCTGGGCATAAACTGGAGCCGGAGTACTTGGCGAGACTGTCGCAAACCTCTGTACTCGGCCCTGGCTGCTCGACTGTTTTTGCACAGTCTACAGTCTTCTGTGCCACAGGTAAAGATAGGTTAAACCCGCTCTTGTTTGCTTGTCAAATCTCATTCTCAGGTGAATATGTTGTTTTTTGTCTTCGTTTATAGGAAGGTCAAAATATACAATGTTTTTTTTTCAAAGACATGACCTTTACTGAAAAGTCATATTTCTTCCTCGAGGTTCAAGTTTTCAAAGATTTAGACAAATTCGGTGACAGAATGTTCTTTCTTCTTGTGTTCGTACAGAGTTTGAATGATCAGGCTACATTTTGGAGTGACAGGTACCACGATCAACCGACAGATACGGTGGAGAATTTCATCAGCAAGGTCGAAACTCTTGAAAGTGAAGGTTAGACATTAAAAAATCTGAAGATTTCGTTACATTTTTTAGTATGACAAAAAATAAGTGCTTAGCATTTAGGACAAACTGATCATTATATGAGGCAAAGTTTGTTGGGGTGTTGGGGTGTTTGTTTGTTTGTTTGTTTGCTTTGTCAGTTGTCCGTTTGTTAGTTATTTGGTAGACCAAGGAAGTCAAGATCTTCGACTTTCCCAATGGTCGTCTTTCGATCAATAGGTGGGTCAACCGATCGATTGTTTGGTCGGCCGGTTGAATGTTTTGGTAAGCCTAAGTCATTCGTTCGGTCAGTCGGTCGTTCGTTCGGTCGGTTGGTTGAGCGGTCGAGTTGGATTGGTTCGGTCATGCGTAAGTCGTTAGTTCGGTCAGTCGGTCGTTCGTTCGGTTGGGTGGTCGATTGGAACCGATTTATTCGGTTATTGTGAGCTTTCGGTTTGGGCAATAGGTGAAATCGGGTGATAAGTATTTTGTCTTTTTATCTTGATTTTATGTTGTCTTCAGGATGTTCTGTCAAGGGCATAGATCTAGTCTTCATTTTGGACAGTTCAGGGAGTGTGGGATCTGCCAACTTTGAGACAACCAAGAACTTTGTTTCGAGTGTCGTTGACTCGTTTGACATTGGTGCCGACAAGACCCGAGTCGGTGTCATCAAGTACTCATCTGGCGTTACAGTCGAGTTCAACCTGAACGAATACACCGACAAAACACGACTCAAGCAGGCAATTGGAAACATCATTTACAGCGGAGGTGCAACAGATACAGTTTCTGCACTGACCGTCATGGAAAGTCAGGCCTTCCTAGTCGCGAACGGAGCCCGACCCGACGACGAACCAGTATCCCGTGCGGCAGTTGTCATCACAGATGGGCAGTCACAGGGGGCAGCAGCCGTGGCAGTACCGGCAGACCGAGCTAGGGAGAAAGATATCACCATATTCGCCATCGGAGTGACTAGCAGTGTGAATGACGACGAGCTAAACGCCATTGCTAACAAACCCAACGACACCTACGTGTTCTACGTCAGTAATTTTGACGCGATCGGCAACATTGTGGCCTCTCTTGAAGAACAAACATGTAATGGTAAGTTATGATTGGTACGATTTCTGTTTCCTATTCTCGTCATTACCCACCACTTCCATTGTCATCATCAACCTAATTGTCATCAGGGGGCCTATCGCCGTAATTTCTGTCATTGTCTTTATTAGTTTAGGCTTCACCATCATTGTGAACTCTGTAAACCGTCATCGTAAAATATATATATAAACTAAAAGAAAATCAACCTCTATTTAATGTGTATAAACAGCTCCCACCCCTCTCCGAGTGCCGGTACTCAACAGTTCCCTCAGCCTTGGAGACGTGCAATTCTTGCAACAGATAGTGCCAGAAAGTGGAGTCACCCTAGTCATTGAAGCTGCAGAAGGCAACGTGGTCATGTACATCTCCACGACCACACCCAACCCTAACGAGGCACTTCATGACTACCGCCTGGAAGCGAGAGAGGGTCAGGGAAGGGCGGAAGTCTTCATCAGTCCTGATGCATTCATACACGAGGGGAACTTCTCTATCCAGACTGATGGTGGCCGTAAGCGAAGACAGGTGAGTGAGAAAAAAAAAATTCCTGAAACTTTTAATTCTGTTAACACTCGAACGCATGATCTTACGGTGTCTTATCTTGGTTGAGAAGCAATTAACTGGCTGGAGTAGGACGTGAACCAACGACCACCGATACATAAACCTGTTGTCCCTTAGGCCAAAAAAAAAAAAGTCGGTCTCTGGTCAGCGCGCGCGTCGATTTTAATCATGCGCGTCGATCTTTTTTTTTTCCAAAATGTTCCGCCCGTAGCTCCAACAGCGCCCTCTATTTCCGCACCTCCTCATTTTTTTTTACCAAAGAGCACCAAGGAATGGGAAATTGCACCAAGGCAAATGATCAAAAGCACCAAGGCAAATTATGGAGGACACCAATGTACACGAGGACACCAAAAAAAGCAAAATAGTACCCCACCTTGTCTGTACAATCCAAGCTTGAAGAAAAGAAAAAAAAGCCAAAAAAAAAAAAAAAGCCGCGTGGCCGCGTCAATTCGGGAATTTTGGTCTGACCAGAGACCGAATATTTTTTTTGTTTGGCCTTAACTAGTGTCTTCCGATCATCTGGTTTGATAGGCACCGAGTCAGAATGACACCGGAGATGGTTCCCCCATCGGCACTGTGTATATGACCATAGAGGGCCTGCAGGATACCAACGATTTTGTGTTGGAGGTGACCGAAGGTGACGTCACCGATCCTGTCACTACCCAGCCGACAACTGAAGAGCCAGAGGCCACAGCTACTCCAGGGAGCAAGTACACTTCAACTACAGCTGGGGCTTCAGTTCATACTACGGTTTACATCAGCGTAATGATGAAGGCTCTTGTTGCTGCTCTGTTGATGAAATCTGCCCAGTTTTAGATTGTTGGGTGACTTCGAGAAGTGCGGGGTTAGGCATCCTCAACACCCTGATTCGTACAGTTAAAAGCGAAAAGGCATTTTTAAAGCCGTCACTTCCGAAGCGCATTTTACTCAGAATAATGTATGCATTTAAAAACAGTTAAAGTAATTACTTATATTCCATTGTAGGATAACAACACATTAGTACGGCAAGTTGGTAAACAGATACTTACACCGAAATAAAATAGTTAACAGAAATACTTAACAGAAATAAAATAGTTCACTTACACTTTTAGCACATCTTACTCAGAGCATTGTGAACATAATTGTATAAGATTTGATTATTTGATATTAATTGTAATACTTGAAGACTCGCATGTTTCTTCATTCACAGAGATCATGCATTTCTTCCTTAATTAAAGATAGAAAGTAGACCTAATGCTCATAACATGTTTATTTGGTATTTAAACAGCATATACACAGAGTGTCTTCATCCTTCAGTAAATTGCCATTGTGATTATTTTCTTTCTGTTGACAGATGCACCAAAATGTTGAAAATAAAAATCATTGAGAATTTACACTTTTGCGGATGTAATGAATCGCAGTAGCAATAGTTAAAGAGAAATATCATTACCATTTATAACTGGGTATGAACTTTAATGTATACTTTGTAGTGAGAAAAAAAATCAATGATTAAGTCAGAAATCTCTGTAAAATTTGCAGCCATAAAACAAGGTAAACGTGAAAGATTCGCTGATTATGTTTGTTTTCGAGTAAGTGGAGTGAAGTCATAAGCGTGTACCTACTTCAGAAACAAAGGAGGGCGCTCTGATCGAGCGCGCCATACTGTCACATAAATTATATTTTTGTCGCTTGTGAAAATTCGCTGAAAACGCCCATTGATTTGGCACCGTATGTTTGATACGTCCAATATTGTGAGTACATTTTGAACATTGTAAATTTAAATAGAGTCAAGGTTTACTTTGTATAAAGCGGGTAAGGAATAACAAACCTCAAATGCGGTGAAATGTGGCATATTTTGTGCATTTAATTGAAAAGACTGGAGGTTATGTTGAGCACATGAATTAATGTTACAAGATTGTTCAGGAGAGAATATTCACATGCAGCGGTAAAATCATTTTCTTGGTGAATTAATACATGAAGACTTCTGTGATGATTTTTAATGTAAACACTGAAGGACTAGGGTATATTAAATGGATATAAATTGCAACGGGCAGGAAATTATTCAATTTCATGTTGAGAAGTCAGCCAGTTTAATTATCAGATCATATTATAATCTATACTCTTCAAGTATGTGAAGGTGCTTTTTGTCTGAATTATTAGATACTTATCGTAGTGTTTGTTTTATTATTAATTGCAGATTGAACCACACACTTGTGAGTATAGGCACGCACTTTAGAATGCAGGACTCGATAGTTGCTACTCGATCGGTTTAATAACAATTAAGGGCAGAGATGTATAACATTACAATTTGTCACCTTCGTCATCTTTGGATTTTTCTTTCCTTTTTAGTTATCCGTCACAATTTCTGTTGCCATGCTTTTCTCCGTGGACTGTGCATGATTAGAGCAAAAGTTCACACAGATTTCAAATTCAAGGGTGCTTCATAATGCCTTGTGTACTTAGCAGTATCGCGTGTTACACATGCTGTGCTGCTTGAAGGCCAGCCCAGAACGAACAATGCTGTCGTGTTTTCAAAGCTTTGGAGCATATTCAAATACTTAAGGCGCATTTATGATCGACGATAATTTGCGCGAGGTGGAGACGGGTTTTTCCGGATGTACTTCCGTGTGTCGTAATAATTCGTTTGTAATCACTTTGCGTTTTGATTTTGTCGGGGAAAGGCAAGTGTTGTTTTCTTTAGCACGACTACATTTTGTCCGTTTTGAGTCCCGAAATGGAAGGAAAGCTGACAGGAGGTATGTTGTCATTTTATCAATTTGTTTAATATAAATTAATTAATTAATTATAAGTATTACCGAGAGTATTACCTTGAGGAGTCATTCCCATAGGGTTATGCACGAAATATGTTCAAACTTTCATGACGCCTAACCTCCGTTATCCTTCCACACGAATATTGGTACATGTATGCTTAGGACCTGGCCTAACTGCAAAGGTAACAGCGGCCTCTGAATGGGAGTTGTGGCAAATGTCTCCTTAATCTTCCTTGTCTCCCTAAGTTATGATTTATGGGGGAAAGTGTCTCCTTCATGCTAGATTTACGGTGATAAATTTATGTTCAAAAGTTCAGTCTGTAAATGTTTGACTAGACTAACAAGGTGGGAGGTGAGAAAAAAATGGAAAAAAGAGAGAGACTCTAAGACATACAAGGCAGGAAGGACAATCTTAAAGACTCACTGTTACAAACAACCTTGCTAAATGTCTGACAACTTGTGAGAAAGAGGCTAAAGCAAAGTGGATTACCTTATTTAGCTGGATCACAAGTGTCAGTTAAGGACACATTTTATACTCAGTGTCTCGGGGAGTCAGACAGTCAGTGTCTTAGTCAGTGACTGAGTGTCTCAATCAGTGAATCGGGGAGTGAATCAGTAAATCAGCCAGTCACTCGGGGAGTGAGTCAGCCAGTCTCTCAGTGATTCAATCCGTGATTCAGTCAGTGACTCGGTGATTCAGTCAGTGACTCAGTCAATGACTCATCAGTCAGTGACTCGGTGATTCAACCAGTGACTCTGTCAGTGATGCAGTCAGTGAATCAGTCAATGAATCAGCCAGTGACTCACTTGGTGAATCAGCCAGTGACTCAGTCAGGGATTCAGTCAGTGAATCAGTCAATGAATCAGCCTGTGACTCACTCGGTAAATCAGCCAGTGGCTCAGTCAGTGATTCGGAGAGTGATTCAGTCAGTGAATCAGCCAGTGGCTCAGTCAACGATTTAGTCAGTGAATCGGCCAGTGACTCCCTCAACGATTCGGGGAGTGAATCAGCCTGTGACTCAGTCAGTGATTCACTCAGTAAATCAGCCAGTGACTCACTCGGTAAATCAGCCAGTGGCTCAGTCAGTGATTCGGAGAGTGATTCAGTCAGTGAATCAGCCAGTGGCTCAGTCAACGATTTAGTCAGTGAATCAGCCAGTGACTCCTCAACGAATCGGTCAGTGAATCAGCCTGTGACTCAGTCAGTGATTCACTCAGTAAATCAGCCAGTGACTCAGTCAGTGTTTCAGGCGGTGACTCGGTCAGTGACTCGGTCAACGATTCAGTCAGTGAATCAGCCAGCAAACCATCAACCTGTTTGCCTTCCATAATTTTTTTAATAAACAAAAGTTAAATGAACTTTTAATTTGATGAAAAGGAGGGGTCTACAATCTGTCAATTTTATATATTATTTCTTAAGAGTGTCTATAGATGTACCATATGCACACAAATAATCATTTGGAAATATATTTTGTATTAAATAAGTGTTGGAAATCATTTTCGTTTTTTTTTGTGAAAAGCAACTTTAACAAACGTTTAAACATCAGTGCACTGTGTTAAAATTGTTCCTCATCAATTGATGATGAAAACCCAGATTGCGACACACGGAAATGGAAAATTACCGGGCATCAATGGGTAACGAGCACTTAAACGCCCAAATAATATATTTTCATTACCTCATGGTGTGGAAATGGATCGTTACATTGGAACCCACAGAACTGGAAAGTCCCAAGGCACACAATGCACATCACAAAACCCTTTCAGCCCTATTGCGCATGAATAAGTGTGTTGCATTGTGTCGTGATGTGTAAACAGTCAGGGTTTTTTCTCGCATGTAAAGAGTTGAAGCTTTATACTTCAGTTCAAGCTGAGGTAAAAAAAATCCAGACGCATTTCGGGCCAATCAATCATTTTAATGAGCCAGAGCTTAGGCAAATAAAGCCCTAAGCTTGCGCTATTGTATCCGCGCATGCGCAATGTATTCTGGCCCTAGTCCAAGTTCCTGGAGTCGCGGAAGCAAAGGCGATAAAAGCACCGTATCAAAATTTAATTCAAAAAACCTAAACATCAATAATTTGATATATCAAGTTCACTAATTTTTGTTAGTCATGATTAATTTCTAAAACCTATTTGACTGTTATTAAGAAAAATAAGTTCGTACTGGGAAAAATAACCCTTTCTAGTTTTAGACATAAGCTTGAAACTATGTGAGTGTGGGTTTTTTAAATATTGTTTTTGATCGATATTCTGGGGACCAATAAACAGGAGGTCGGTGCTCCCAGTCCTTTGGTTTAATGCTAGGTTTTTTTTAGCTGGAACGTAGGACCAGCTTACTGTCATTTATCTACCTGAATCACCGAGTCACTGACTGAATCGCCGACTGATTCACCGTCTGACCGTCACTGGCTGATTCTCTGACTGAATCGTTGACTGAGTCACTGACTGAGTCACTGACTGAGCCACCGGTTTATTGCTTTTTTTCTGGTTCACAACCCAAATCAAATATACATATTTCAATTTTCCAACAGGGCCACTGGTGTTCTTTCTTCTCGTCCTCTTGCCGCTGATTCGAGCAGAGGGAAGGGACCAGACTATTATACCCAACGAAGGCAGTACCGCAATCGTGGAAGCCACCGTCTCCAAGCTCAACCAACTGGCCGAGAAAAACGAGGATCTCCGGGCAGACAACCGGTTCATGCGCCGCATCGCATGGGTAGAAACCAGGGATGGTACGGCAGATCACACCTACTCTGTCCCGACCTACCACGGTGGGATATGGCGCGTCGACCAAGCCGTCTTTGATGAAACTAAGCGTATGGTCAACGGGTTACTCTACGTTCGTCTCTTTGATGACATCGAGAGACTTTTCTGTATCCGATGGAGCCAGACTACCTGGGAAGACTGCCGTAAACCCCTCTACTCGGCTCTGGCAGCCCGACTGTTCTTACATGGACAGGGCCGTATGTTCATACCAATTGTAAGTTGTACCAAATTGGTATGGACAATTGATGTTTTGTTGCCGATTCATTGTGACCATGGAAAAATCGCTGCATCTTAATATATAAAATCTAAAATCACAATGTACCTATTCCTATTTGGAAACAACTTTACAGTATTGGAGCGTTACGATTATACCCGATTGACCATCTCTACTTTTAGACCCGAAGTTACAGTATATGGAAGGAAAATTACAGAGTATTACCAAAAACATACAACATTCAAAAACAAATAATTAGAACCGTTTAATGTACTTTTTCTTCGATGAAATTATATATTCTCCACTCCTTTTATCCCATTCCATTTGGGTCATATTGATCCAGATATATACAATCAATTGGGCCACTCTCACCTGAACATGCTGAATCTGGGTTAAGCATTGAAAAGTCATTGAATAGGCATTGAAGTCGGTGACATCACAGGTGAGAGTGGTCCAAATATAATTTACACCCTTTCACTGAATGGATCGAATTTCTGGATCAAGGGACCCAAATGGAATGGGGTAAAAGGGTTGGATTGAGAAACAGTCAGGCTAAAATTTAATGTAATATATCATTTCATTGAAGAAAAAAAAAACATTAAAAAGTTTTAATTATTTGTTTTCTGAATGTTGCACTTTTTTGGCACACTCGGTATAGGTATAACTCAGTAGTTTATTTATTTATTTATTCATTACATTTCTTTAGTCAGGGTTTGCCCAAACAGTTTAAAACTGGTTTCCATTGGGGCCCTGCTTACATACTAATGTTTATACACACATGTATAAATACAATACATTACAAATACATTGCAAAGTAGTCGGGGTGGTTAGAACCGAGCAACAACACACAGCAATGCAGGTTTGGTTTTTTTTTTAAGTCTTTGCAACTAATAGATTCATACTGTATCTTGTTTGGTATGCTTGACAGGGATTGGATGCACAGGCTGAGACATGGGCAAATGAATATCACAATCCGCTAAGGCCAACGGATACAGCCGCCAGATTCAAAATGGACGTTGAAGTTCTAGAAACAGCTCGTAAGATTTTTTTATTCTTATTACTTGAAAATATGGAGTGTAATAATGACATTAAAACTTCATTTATAACCACTGTAAGTACAATCTGATTAACTAGAAAGCAAACTACAGTGCAATCAAGATTATTATGTCAGCTGTGTGCAACTGAAAATAATTCACAATAACTGCACTGATAGTCCGCAATAATTATTAACTGAAAAACAATCTGAGGTGAATTGAAATCTAGTCAGGCTAGTAAAACGATCGACTGGTATTTTTCGTATAGGATTCTAAGTCAGGACTCAATAAAGAACTTGGTATTTGGACTCTGTTCTTTGAAGACTTTTTATCAAGAACGCTGAAGGTTGGTTGGAAATAGTAATAGAGGCTACAAAACAATAAATGCACTTTATTAATCTCCTGTCTTGTAATCTGCTTACTCTCCCTCTTATATGCAACATTAATTGTTTTCTTGTAATGTCAGGATGTCGTGCGCGAGGACTAGATCTGGTCTTTGTCTTGGATGGATCAGGAAGTGTCATGGTCGAACATTTTCAAGACACTAAACGGTTCGTTCGGGACGTTGTGGACTACTTCAACATCAGCTCTACCCAAACCCGCATCGGGGTCATCCAGTACGGTATTCAGGTCGTCACTGAGTTCAATTTGAATGAGTACACCGATAAATACTCACTGAGGCAGGCTATAGCAGGGATAACCTACCGTAGCGGATCAGCAACATATACAGCAGCGGCGCTCCGTTTGATGGGGAACCGAAGTTTCTTGCCGGAGAACGGCGGTCGGCCAGATGATGCTGGTATTCCTCGCGTTGCAGTCGTCGTCACCGACGGCATGTCAAATGACAAAGATGGCAGCAATGTTACATTTACTGCTGACAGCGCTCGGGCAAAAGATATTGTGATCTTTGCCATCGGAGTCTCCCCGAATGTAAATAACATGGAGCTGAACCAAATCGCCAACAAACCCAATGATACCTACGTCTTTCATGTCAGTGACTTCGGCGCTATCGGCAACATTGCTGCTTCCCTGGAGTACACCACCTGCAATCGTAAGACACCACTTTTTTTTGTGGAAAATTGTAAAATATATTTCATTGTCCATTCTACGATGTCGCTTTAGACATGCAGTGACTTTACCAGTTTAGCTGTAGATATTAAGAACATAAAGGTAGCTCATCCTACAGATTGTTGGAGAAAGAACAACAGCTTTAAGCTAAAGCTATATACTTCAGATGTCATCAAAACAGCCCCGGAAAAAATCATAAAAAGCGACAATGTACGTGTGCATATGTGTGTGTGGTTTATGTAGCAGTTTACTTTTTTTTATTGGACAGAGGCCTCAGAAATCCAGAACCAAACAGTCAGCAGCACGGTGAACAACAACGAGATCCAAAACTTCGAGGTCCGAGTCCCCCACAACGGCGCCACGATGACCTTGAACGCAACACAGGGCAGCTTGGTGGTCTACATCTCATATAGCACGCCTAACCCTAACGAGGCCTCCCACGACGATATGCTGGAAGCAAAGGAGGGAGAAGGTATCGTGACCATCGTGTTCCTGCCTGAGGATCTGAACAGGACCTGCACCCCTGAGAGCGCCCGCAAGCGTCGACAGGTGAGAGGTTGACCGAGATAGGTAGAAACATACCTAAGCAAAGTTAGATTTACAATAGGGGCCTGCTCTAAAATGATTGGTCTGATCTTCCGAGTACGAATAAAACCATTTCTGTCACTAGTGCCGGTCGACAGTCTAACGTCATACTTTCTGTTTTTACTCTTATAGAAAGGACAATTGAATAACAATGGCTGCCCGTGTGGTCTAGTGGTAGAGCACAGGATTCATGATCGTGAGGTTGTGGGCTCGAGCCCCGCCGTGGCCATGCGTGTTGTGCTCTTGAGTTTAATACCTCAGTTACTCCTCTCAACCAAGGTGTAAATGGGTAACGGCATTATTCAAGGCTGGGAAGTTAACACACTCGCTATGGAGGAGGTGTGGCCATCACCACACAGCAGCATTTCATGGACTCGATCGCGAGTCCGGCCCAAATGCTTCAGAAGAGAGATGGGCACTCCGTTCCTCTGAAAACAGGCTCGTCTCCTTTTTATGGCTGCCTCTACTAAGAAAGACTCTGCCGAGGAAGACTATACTATAGCTGTGAGTGTGTAGTTTTTGTATGACCATACACCCGACAAATTATTGCAGTATTTCTTTTCTTATGAAATTCGTTCTGTTCTAGGCGGACAACCGAGATGGTCCTGAAGCTGGTTCCTTCATCGGAATCGTGTACGTCACCATCGAGGGGCAGCAGGACACCAACGACTTCGTGCTGACAGTGACCGATGGTGACGTCACCGACCCCTCCACAACAGCGGTACCCTTGACAACAATCATGGCTGCCCCTACCAAGGAAGATTCTACCAATGGCTGTGGCTTTGTGGCTGCAACTATGGCTTATGTCCTTCTGAATGCTGCCTTCTCGGCTTCGATTATCTAGGTGTTGCAAAAAGTACTTGTTTGCATCTTTTTGTGGCGAGGGTATGACGAGACAGTCCTCTGGATTATCGGTTGTGTAAAGAGAATGATCCATTGAATATAGTTCAAAAGATGGAAATAAGTTTATATTCGTCACGACTTGACACCATTTTAATGAGGATAACCGAAAGTAAACGAAGGTAGAAAGGCTTTTGAAATTCTAGTATACATTTAATAGAAATAACATTTAGAAATAGGTGAATCATTGACGAAGCTTAAATGATGTACTTAGGAATTCATGATGAATATATAACCGTTTACTACTGCTTTCAAACTACTAGTATGTGGAATGTGTGAAAACCTGAAAGGTAGCTAGACATTTCTTACTTTTGTTTTGTTAATGTTTACATTATCGCTTAATAATTTGTACTCAGAAAAAATCTTAACAATAACATTGGTACAAAATTAAACTACTCATGGAATTTCGGCGATAGAGAACATCCAAGTCGAACAATTTTGTAAATATTTTGCAGCTGTAAATTTCTTGCTAAATAAGAATTAGTAATAATCCCACTTCCTATCAGTTGACAAATCAAAATCATAGTCTAAAAGAAATACACCAAGTTGTTCAATTCAAATCTAAATCTCAACAAGGTTCGATGAATGAGGTTTTTTGGTTATAACAGCAAAGCTGTTAATAATATAGTGAATCAAATGATGATAGCAAATGAAGCGTGTTATTACTGTGTGATCTAAGTGTACTTTATTATAGTATTGTGTTAAGAAGTAATGTTAGGAATACTTTAAACGACAACATTTTTGTCATTGATAAAGTTACAACCATTCCGCATGAGCTTCTCAAAATGCCTTTCCATGTCATGCCTGTCGACCCCTGACAAGACACTTCTAAGATGGACATTAGTTTTCTCTGGTTGTGTTTATGAAAAGAAATATCATTTTATACATATTGGAATCACTGTCGCTCAAATGCTGTATTAACAGGAGTTCCTGATACTGTGTAAATATTTTACCTTCTAGTTTTGTTTTCAGCTTACTTGTATGCAGAATGTATGAAAAAGGAAAGTTAGTCAGAGGTTTCTTCTTCTTTTTTTGTTAATGTTGGCAGTAAGTTTACTCAATATCGCTTAATATTTGTACTCGGATACAACTCTTAATAATTATAAAGGCAACATGAACAAACAAGTTCTGAAATGCTTGCCGTAGAGAACATCGATGTTGAACAATTTTGTAAATAATTAGCCGATGCATTTTTTTGCTGAATAATAAAAATTATCCAACTTCCCATTACTTCACAAATCAAATCTAAAATGACAAATACACCAATATGTTGTACTAAAAAATAGTATTGAATACATTGCGACATGAGCGAACAAATTACAGAATGCTTGCTGTAGAGATCATCAAAGTTGAACAATTTCGTAAAATGTTTTGCCGATGTAATTTTCTTGTTAAATAATAAACATTATCCTACTTTTCATTATACTCCACAAATCAAAAATCTGAAATTAAAAACACATCAATATTTTAAAGGCAATATGAACAAACTAATTATCAAAAATGATTATGATCAAGAACATCAAAGTTGAACACTTTTGTAAAGGTGTTGTCCATGGATTATTCTTGTTAAATCAATATTACCCCACATCACATGTAAAATTACAAATTTACCATGCGGTTTACAAATTTACCAAGCGGTGTAATTAATTAATATGAATTAAACATCTGAGTCTCAAAATTATGCGTGAAATGTTTTTTTTTTTAAATCAAAGCTCTTAATTATCATGTAAGGGTAGTGAATTAAACGATATAGCAAGTAGATGCATGTTATATTATTGTGTGATCTAAGAGTGTAGTTAATTATTACAGTATTGCAGTAATGTGAGGTATAGTTGGGCAGATAGGGGAGAAATTTGTGGGAAATTGTGCCTTCGATTATACAAGTTCGTTGAGGTATTTTGCTTTCTGGCGGGTTGAATACACGTGAGACCAGCCGGGTAGTGTCTGTGATTCGATCATTGATTTTTCCCACTTCTTATAACTTGGCTTGAATGTTGTTATTGGGTGAATACTTGTGCCATGTTTTACTCTACGGACCCAAGCACCTAGGTGCACCTATCTCCAAAATGTGATCGAAATGTTGTTTTTCTACCAAAAACCAAGTGTGACACACAGACAGAAAGTCAGACATCCGACACCATAGGATCTTTTAATATAGGATAGGACTGCCAACCAGCCCACATCTGTTGAGGTTGTGATTTCTGTACGTACATCACACACGTAGTTTATTGATAGAACTCGGGGAACAATAATATTTTGATGACACCAACCCCCACCTTAATCTTGGTCGCATTCTTGAGATCGATGATAACAACAGCTTGACCACTTATGACCCCTTGGCTAATCGGTGTGTCTATAGTGAGTGATACACATATCAATTTCTGATCAATGAGGTTTCATCTCTAAAGTACAATCTCTGCAAATCACCGAATTTATTTATTTATTTATTGCATTTCTTTTCCCAGGGTATGTCCAAACGGTTTAAAATTGGTTTTCATTGGGGCCCTGCATACACTACGAATGACTACACATATGTACACATACAATACATTACAAAAACAATACAACACAATGACACAAATAAAAGCACATTGGATTACTGCATGATTGTAAAGTTTCTTTGTAACTATTACAGAGAAACATGTTCAGTTTAAAACGACATTGAATGATTTTCAAGAAACACGAACCTTTTATCGTAACATTGGAAGCGTCGTTTTCTTCGAAAATCATCAGAGAAAAAAAGTCACACAATATTTGTGTTGGCTGTTGTTACAAAATTAACGGAACCAGAATGTATGTAGGAGAATTCACAAATTATTGGAATAAAACTAAAAGGCAGTTACCGATTGTGGTCGGCCGCGCATCAACCGGGGAAACTTTTTGGCTTCTAACTCGGGCTCAGTACGGCGTCTCCGATGAGCTCTGTCAACAAAAAAAGGAATCAGTTTGTGGAATAATGATAAAAACACAAGCCTAATTGAAACTCCAAACAATGTTTGGTTTAAAAGAAACCTAACATTTTGGTGACTACTGAAACTGCATACCTGGCGACAAGAGAGGGCGCTCGTTCCTTTCAGCAGGTGGCGGATCGTGCGAAAAACGAACACGACTAAAGTCTAAGTACCGATCAATAGTGCAGCGTGAATATTCAAATCACGTATGCATTATTCAACAGCTTCCGGGGATCGCTAATGTCTGTTTTGATTGGGCGATGAGGTCACCGCTGATAGTCGGATACCCAAAGCGTCCGAATCCTAAACATAATGATGATTCCAGCAGGACCCAGACTGAAACAGATCATTTTTGGAAGATCGCAACAAAGAATTTGTCTGATGTAATGTCACAATATTGCGCCATTTTCCTGCAAGTAAGACAAGAAAATTGGTAAATATTGGTGTTTATGTATACATTGTTTGCCTTAGTGTGTTGAAAATTTGTTTAAATAGCGAACGGAGACTTTATCAACGAGTTTATTGCAGCTGCACAGTTGTCGCTTCTTGTATTTCAATGTTTACCTTTTTGTGTACAAAGTCTATGGAGAGTCAAGAAACATTTCAAAGTATTTCCTAACAAAATTGGAAATGTTTCTCAGTCCCATATCCATGTCTATAATCATTTTTGCAATGAATGACTTCCATTGAGATGATATATGAGGGAAAAAAGTGGCATCAGGTTGCAACATTTTTTTGCTCCTTTCCCATGTTTGCACACTTTTAATCATGTTAATCTTTTCTTCTAACATGTCTAAATCGTTTGTCGTAGAGTAAAAGTTAACCATAAAATGAGAATGTTCTGAGAACATAAGCCGGCGTTATAACTTAGAAGCGACACAAAGGAGTAAGCTGGCAAGATGGATGGGCTGCAGACAGAGTACCATCGACTTGAGTCCACAGATGATGCAGACCATGATGAGCGAAATGTCATGCTGCATGTTACCGATGACAGCGGAAAAGGTCAGAATTGGAAATAATCAGTGATAGTTAAGTGTGTTTGGAGTTGATAATTGGAAGGAACTCAGTATCCCGTAGATCCGTAAACATGGCTATATAGTACATAGCCAGCTCCGTTCATAATCTCTGGACTAGTGCACTTTCGGCGGATTCAAAATCCTGGTTGGAGGCCTTCCACTTACATCAGACTGGGACCGTGAGTGCATAAAAACGTGCAAAATTACTACTGACGTTTTTTTACTCACCATCAGGCTAATTAATGCCCACACAACACATACATCAAAATGATATAGTTGCAAGCATGTCACATGCGAAATTTGAGACCTTAAATCCAATTTTAAGGCAAGTTTTTGGCAGTTCAAAAACCATCCACGTCAATCTCCATGCTCTGGAAATGGGTGTGTGATTCCCAATGTATTCTGGGTAGGTGTAGGAAAAGCCTTGCAGCTTACTTGTTTTTTAATTGATGGCCAAATGAACATAGCGCCCTCTGTTAAAAAATGAAACATTTTGCATTTACTCAGATCAACAAGAGGGCGCTGTTTTATCTACACGATGAAAATGTTATAGCTGAGGAGTCTTTTTGCACAATGCATTGCAGTACACATCAACATGATGTCTCACGTTTGGATTTCGATAACTCTCTGTAAAATTAGATTTAAAAGCTGAATTTTTGGTGATGCAATGCTCACAACAGCAACTTTACGAGGCAAAAGTTTCAGGGATTATTGAAAAAACTGTAGTGAGTAAGAAGCTTGCAAATTTGATTCACACTGGTTTTATTATGCAGCACAAACTTTTGCACGATATGGATACCTTAAGTTTTGGGACTCTCATACACAGTATTGAGAGTCCCAAATTTTCGGACTACACTTACATGTACAGTCCCGAAATTTAACGAGCACTATATGTTAAGTACTTACATTAGAGTTTATCCAAGAACTTCCAGTGGCATAGGATCTGTCATTCCAAAGGAATTTGAGGGGAAAATAAAGAGCCCACATCAACACAAACGTTAACAATTTCGAAAGTTCAGATTATGAACGGAGCGTGGCTACATATACATGTATAATTATAGCCACGTTTACGGGTCTGAGTATCCCGATGCCAATTGTTCATCTTGAAATAACGACATTGATTAGATGAGTGATTGCAAATATTGAAAATTGAATATGATTTGGGGAATTAGAAAGATTTCAAATGCGTCAAAGCATACTTGAATTATGTTGTTTTGACACCACATTAGATTATGATTGTTTCATTAATGAACAGGTTGGGGGAATCATTTGTTTTTAAATGGTTACATGGTTTAAATTTTGTTTGCAGCTAATATAGATATCGTGTTTTCAAATGTACATTAAATTGGCTAATTACAAAATAACTCCAGAGAATGACCATGTTTTTGCTCTTCTTTCCTGTACCAGCTCGCTGGAACCACATAGAAAATCTGGACGAATTCTTCACGAGAATATCCTTTTCAGTTCATTTTGTTTTATTCAACAAAAATGTGAAAAAAGGGATCTCAGTTTGCCAAACATTACATGTTTTTGAGCATGACTGAAATTTAGAATATTTGCCATGTACACTATGATTCCAATGTACATGTTCAAATTATTTCAACGTGAAAAGACTTACTTTCATAGGGTGCGTTGGAGTAGCTCACCAAGATCGACTTGGGTAAAGGCAAGCGGGTTAGCCACGACAGCCGGGCTAATCGGACATTCAACCACGGGCCATCACGATCCCCACGTGATGTCTGTAGCTATGGCTGTAGCCACTGACAAAACACTCGTTTTGGATTGGGGACTTGGTTTGAGATTTACTGCTTTTCAGTCAATTGAAAAACTCAAACATGCCCAAAAAAAAAAAAGTTAGGCTGGAATTATAGCCTCAAAAGTCGCAATGATTACCTTTAGACTTCAAATAAAGTTAAATTTTAAGTCCACTTGAAATTTCCTCCGTTTCTTGGAATGAACAAGGCATGTGTGTGACGTATTTCCACCACTGACTCTGCTCCACGGGCAGGGTCTGTGGTGGCTGACCCTGGTTAGCCCCGAAAATGATGTCAGATCTAATCCAACGGCGCGGGGCGGATATGTGTCGACCCGGGTGAGCTAAACTAACACACCCACAGTTTCTTGACAATCAATAATTGACATTTAAACAAAAATGATTCGTTCTTAAGCTTATAATTTGACCTTAACACCTATTCACATCTACCATTATCATCAGAAGCATGGCTACCTGTGCATGATGTTGGCTCAGGTATTTGAGTTAGTGTAAGTAGAATCATATATCTTCCCGCAATAATGCATTCGGAAACTATAGAAATAAATAAAATAAAACAAAGTCATTATAACTTACAGGAAATATTTGTATAAACATCTTGTACATCGTCCAAAAAAAAAAAAAAAATTTGGAACTTCCAAATTCTTGTTACTGTCTGCAATATGAATCCAGTTAGGCAAAGTGGACAAAGAGAAATATGGCTTGTTAACATGACGTCTTTATTCTTCCTTACAGGCAATTTGTGTTCATCGTCCTGTTCTCCATGTTTCTGCTACGATGCGTCGATTACAGCATCTTGTTTGGGGATACAAAACCTGAAGGCGTTACCAAGGTAGCGCTGTCAGACGCCTTTATGCCGCTTAATCAGTGCTCTAAAGAGTAAGTGCTAATTTTGTTTTGTTTCTGTATACATATATTAAGTTGAGCAAAAAATGACTGGATTTGAAGATGTGAATTCTGGAATGATTCGGGCATTTGTTCCCCCCCCCCCCAAGTATCATCGTTATCAACTCTGGAACGGCAGTTCTGAAATTCTTCCAAATCCATCCCCCCGCAGGCCCTCGTTTGCCGTCCTGTGACCACTGTTTCTCTGTTCTATTCACCAGTCCTCCAGCAGCGTTGGTGATTTGTGTCATCATAGCCGGTATCTTCTGGATTCATCGAGTTATACGATTTGTCTACAACGCTCTGCACTACTGGGAGATCAGAGCTTTCTATCGAATAGCCCTCAAGATATCCGCTGTAAGTACTCAACAGTTTTGTCAGTTTGTTAATTCCTTGGGGGAAATCTAAAAAGAAGGGAAATGATTACCTTAAGAACCAACTTTAGAAGATGTGATTTTTGAAAGAAAAAATAGGGTTTTTACCTTGAATTTTATGAAAAAAATAATGTAACTTTTGGGAACTTGATTGAAGAATTATTAGCATAATGTCAATGATGAAGGATTGAGGTGCTGGGTATCCTTCATTTGAACATATTAGTGCTCAGTTTTGGAGGATTTTGGAGGATTGGGGATGGTTCGTAACAAAAAGGGCCTAGGAGGTCAGGGTTAATTCGTACCTGCTCCGCAACATTTTACTGAATCTCTTTTTGAATTGTATTTATGTAGAAGGATCTGCTAAACCTGACCTGGCATGACGTGTTGAAACGCGTACAGGAAGTCCAGAAAGAACAGCGAATGTGCATACACAAAGCGGAACTCACAGAACTGGGTAAGATATGACAAACCTTTCTGACTTTTTAACGTTTGAAATAAAAATGGACAACTGTTGAGAAAGATTTAATAAACTAGAAAGAAATTGATTGGAAGACTCGTTGTTAAACCCTTGATCTTTATGTGCAGTTTTGAATAATATGAATTTATTTAAAGTTAGATGTTAGGCCATATAATTGTGTTCAATTTTAGTTCAGTGAAAATTCAGCGCGTTCAAAATATTCACGTCAGTTTCACTTTCTGTGATGCGGGCACTAGAGAAAGCGTTGCTTGAGAACAGCACAGCAATGGCACGGCGTTTGGAACAATGCCGTGCCACTGCCATTCGGAATGACAATAGCGCAGCAGCCCTGTTCAGCCAAAGTATGGTCTAGAACGAGCCTAACTTATTACTTCAAATCTGTTGTTTTTTTAGCAAGGTTTCGGATAGTTTAGTAGCACATTTACTAGTATGAGATTCTCTTCTATTATTGTGCTGTATGAGAGTAGGCCTACATGTACTTGAACTTGTTTTCATTGTTTGTCCTTTGTCAGATATCTACCATCGTATTCTCCGATTCAAGAACTACTCCATTGCCATGATCAACAAATCTCTGCTGCCGTTGCATCTGACAGTACCATTCCTAGGAGAAATGTAAGTCAATCAATTAATGGGTTCTGTAGGAACAGATCTCTGCTGCTGCTACACCTGAGAGTACCATTCCTAGGAGAAATGTAAGTCAATCAATTAATGGGTTCTGTAGGAACAAATCTCTACTGCTGCTACACCTGAGAGTACCATTCCTAGGAGAAATGTAAGTCAATCAATTAATGGGTTCTGTAGGAACAAATCTCTACTGCTGCTACACCTGAGAGTACCATTCCTAGGAGAAATGTAAGTCAATCAATTAATGGGTTCTGTAGGAACAAATCTCTGCTGCTGCTACACCTGAGAGTACCATTCCTAGGAGAAATGTAAGTCAATCAATTAATGGGTTCTGTAGGAACAAATCTCTGCTGCCGCTACACCTGAGAGTACCGCTCTTAGGAGACATGTAAGTCAATCAATTAATGGGTTCTGTAGGAACAAATCTCTACTGCTGCTACACCTGAGAGTACCATTCCTAGGAGAAATGTAAGTCAATCAATTAATGGGTTCTGTAGGAACAAATCTCTGCTGCCGCTAGACCTGAGAGTACTGTTCCTAGGAGAAATGTAAGTCAATCAATTAATGGGTTCTGTAGGAACAAATCTCTACTGCTGCTACACCTGAGAGTACCATTCCTAGGAGAAATGTAAGTCAATCAATTAATGGGTTCTGTAGGAACAAATCTCTGCTGCCGCTAGACCTGAGAGTACTGTTCCTAGGAGAAATGTAAGTCAATCAATTAATGGGTTCTGTAGGAACAAATCTCTGCTGCCGCTACACCTGAGAGTACCGCTCTTAGGAGACATGTAAGTCAATCAATTAATGGGTTCTGTAGGAACAAATCTCTACTGCTGCTTCACCTGAGAGTACCATTCCTAGGAGAAATGTAAGTCAATCAATTAATGGGTTCTGTAGGAACAAATCTCTGCTGCCGCTAGACCTGAGAGTACTGTTCCTAGGAGAAATGTAAGTCAATCAATTAATGGGTTCTGTAGGAAAAAATCTCTGCTGTCGCTACACCTGAGAGTACCGTTCTTAGGAGAAATGTAAGTCAAGCAAGTAATGGGTTCTGTAGGAACAAATCTCTGCTGCTGCTACACCCGAGAGTACCGTTCCTAGGAGAAATGTAAGTCAATCAATTAATGGGTTCTGTAGGAACAAATCTCTGCTGCCGCTACACCTGAGAGTACCATTCCTAGGAGAAATCTAAGTCAAGCAAGTTTTGGGTTAAACATTGTGAACATTGGTTTTGCGTTTTTAACAGAAACGATATCGGACTGTGATCCTGTTGTGATGAGTGCAAAGAAAAAAATTATTATAACTTCAGCCAACTTTTCTCATAAGGGTTTCTTCTTCTTCTTCATTCATTCATTTTCATGATGACTTGATGAGTTGGGCCTAACTGTCCCTGTCGAGCATAGTGTTCGACAGGGACAAGGGTTTTTGCTGTTTACATATTTATGCAAATTATACTCATGTGTTGACTTCTTTACTTTTAGAGTGTTATAAAGTATCCTTGACGAAATTGAATTGAATTTTTGTTTCCTGTTTGTAGGGTGATATTAACAAACGGACTGAAATATAACCTGGAGATGATTTTATTCTGTGAGTATTTGTCAGTATAATTTGTATATTTCTACTTTCAACGTTGCTATTTTTCCACTAAAAGTTTAAGTTGGAATTTAGTCTGAACTAATGAACCCTGAACAGAATCTGTTATTTTCTTTATTCATTTTACACAAACCACCTCAAATGATAGGTAGTGGTGGGATTTACATTGTAAATCCGGATTTTTGAATATTCGGTTTGAATGTCACTATTCGGTTTCGATTTTGGAAACCGGATATTCGGAACCGACTAAGCCTACCCTTAGTTGTGACACAGACTAAAGAAAACAACTGGAGCATCTCCCAATTTGCTCCATGGTCTCTGATTGTAACTGCATTCACTCGCTAGTCGTCTTCTTGGTATACATCAAGCTAAATGAGTCGTTTGTCAGAGACTTTCATTGGGAGATTCAGGCCAAAATAGGGCCTCTGCCTCACATCACTTCATCACATCTCTTGGTGTTCCGACTTCCATAATTTTGAAACTAAAGATGGTACCAGCATGCGGTTTTCACATCAGTAATGCTGAGATTGTGATCTGTTCAAATCTGTTTAAAAAAAAAAAAAATTGACCAGGGACATCAAACAACTCATTTAGCTTGATGGCATCACATATGAATAACCTGCCCATTCGACTTATAAGAGAGTTCCCACCAATTCTTTCAACAATACAGCTCTGGAGTGTTTTTGTTAAGACCTAGTGGTCAATGAATCCTGCAAACTATACCCAGTCATTGGGAGGGCATTTCATGTGGCACCTCTGGTCACTTTTTGTTGGCATAACTGCGAGCTAGATGAGAATTCCAGTGAAATCAGTTAACTGTTATTCAGATTGAAAAAAAATTAGGATAACCAGATTTAGAAATTTTGATTTCCCCCTCCTCTTATATAGGCAATAATTCTAAATGTGACTACAAGTTGAGATTTGAGCTGAATGATATTTGACATTTTCTTCTCAACGCGGATATTTTTGTCTCATTCTCACCAGGGGGGCCATGGGCTCCGTTTCAAAACTACTGGCATCTTAAGGAAGAGTACAAACGTGCTGCCAACAGAGAGGAACTTGCCAGACAGTCAGTAGTTATTTAATTGTTTCTTAAGATGTTATACAATTGTTTCAAATACATGTAGAATACTTGGGACCAATGATTCTCCATTTCAGAAAAGTGCAGATTCCGTTGTCAAAAATCCTAAAATCTGTTTTTGGCTGCAAAATTCTGTTGCACATTTTTTTTTAATGCATAAAAGTGCATTTAAACATACACCATGTACACGGGCGGTGAAGAAAATAATTCTGAGACGATAATGATGGGTTGTTCGGTTGGAATGCGGGAAAATTGCCAAAAAAAGATGGCTATTTTATCAACGGCCGATCAATTTACAGACGTAATATTTAACTTCACCACAGTCAAGTCATTACTGCACCGCCACCACCACACATGTAACACTAAACATGTAAACAAAAAATGCAATAGCTGTTTACGCTACGATGTCACACACATTAGCTGAAAACAAATTGTTGATGATTGAACGGAAAAAAAATAAACCTGCCGATGGAGCAAAAGAAACCTGCGAGAGCGTGCCGACAGGTGTTATTGTCAAAAGCTGTACTAGAGGTTTAATATGGAAATAGACACTGCAATTTAGAAAATTTCATCTATTGCAAAAATATTTGCTTTCAGAATTTGCTCACCATCAATTGCTTCACTTCACGTTTTGCTTTCCAACAGATTATCCAAGCACATCCTGTGGATAGCTCTCGCCAACTTCATCCTGTTCCCCTTCATACTGCTCTGGCAAATACTCTACTCATTCTTCAACTACGTGGATCTCATCAAAAGAGAGCCTTCTACATTAGGAACGCGTAGATGGTGAGAATTTACTATAGGGTCCAACCCTCACAATAATTGTTTTGACTAAGTGTGGAAGAATGTCCAAAATGTACGGAAGTACACGTAGTGGAAGCCATATTGGTTGTTGATGCCTTATCGGGATGCAAGTTATCAGGATGATTGCGATTCTGAAGAACTGGTCAAGACGTTTGACGATAGAGTCTGATGAGTGATGGTTGGCCACAAACAATGCACTACTAATCCAAAAACTTTGGAAAAAAAAAAGGACATGAAAGACAAATTTATCCTAGTACTGAAAAAAACTTCCAGTTAGGCCACACACAAAAAAGTCTCCGGTTTCTGGTATGCGCGCGCGTCGCCGTAGCCATGCACGTCGGCAAAATGAAAAAGTTTTTTTTTTCAATGAAAGATGATGTCTCAAAACTGCCAAACTCACTGGTTTGACTGGAATCCTGCTGCTGCAAAATTTTAACGTGTTTGTAGATGGGGTTATGATCGAGAATAAGCTATATGTGGCCTCTCTGGACACCCATATATTTGCACTAAGTTTAGTCGGGCACCATTTGCAGTCATCAGCCGACATATGAAGCAAAAAAAAACGGTAAAAAAACAAAAAAACGCGTCGCTGCACCGCTTTTTGGGCAAGCTCCATACCAGAAACCAGAGACTTTTTTTTTTGGCCTTAGTGATTGGGAGCCCCATTGTCCAAATTGATGCAATTTACCTCATGATCACGACAAAGTATCATGGCTTTGTTCAGCTTTGAGCCTGTAAGATTCATTGGATATTCTTCGCTTGTGTGCAGCGATAACAATTTTGTGACGTGAAAGAACAGCTCATTCCGAACGATCTATTTTGTAGATACATGTAAGGTTGTTGAAGCTGATTGTTAGTGGCGCACGTACAAGCCTACAAACACGCTCGACTACAAACATACTTTGGAAGGTTCAGCCTTTGTGAAATGTCTCATACAGTCATTTATTTTTGCAAAATTAAGGGCAAAGTCACATCTTTTAGTCTTTGCATACTGTTGTTTTCAGGTCGCTGTATTCCCGTCTGTACGTGAGACACTTCAATGAGCTAGATCATGAATTCCAAGCAAGGTAAGCCCAGCCGCATGCCATATCATAATAGATGTCACTATAAGGACCCAAAATGTGTCTCAACAATTTTTTTTTTCAACAAGTCAACAATCTTTATCATAACAGAATATTCAGTTTCCTTATTTTTTAAAAGATCGAAATTAAAATTAAAAAAAAAAATTAATTAAATATTTTGCTGTTGATTACATTTCTTGTTCATTTGTGTGTTTTTTTTTCTTATAGATTGAACCGTGGTTATCGTCCAGCCAAGAAATACATGAACTCTTTCACCTCCAACATACTTGCCATTATCTGCCAGTAAGTTCCAACTTTCCATCATTAGTTCGCTACATGGACTTGGTTATTAATAATATCATACTTTTGACTTATCATTAAATGCATTCCTACTTCCTTATATAATTTCCTTGTATTTTGTTTCTTGTCTTCATGGAACGTCAGTTCCTGGTCATATGCATACTTCCTTTTCAGTGGTTTACCCCTCGCTTTACATTGCAATCTGATCTCTAGTCTTCCCTACATAACATGCAGCACAATAATTTCATCATTTGTGATGCGATCAAGCTAAATGAGTCGTTTGTCAACCCTGGTCATTTTTTTTTTTTACAGATTTGAAAAGAGCACAATCTCAGCATTACTGCTGTGAAAACCACATGCCGATACCATCTTTAGTTAAAAAATTATGGAAGTCAGAACACCAAGAGATGTGATGAAGTGATGTGATGAAGTTGCCCTATTTTGGCCTGAATCTCCAAATGAAAATTCCCGACAAACGACTCATTTAGCTTGATCGCATCACATTTGTCATCCTTAACAATATTGTGAAAGTTTGGTCGGTTGTTACCAACCTACACAGCCAAATTAACCCTCCTGCTGTTTGAAAAACCACAGACAGTCAAAAAATCAATCCTCTTCGCCGGCCATGCCTTTTACACCAAGGCTAGTCACCAACAGTTGGATCATATTTCAAGCAAGCACTGTGACTAGTCAAACTCAGGCAACAGCCAAAAGTAGGCAAGATGTCGACGCAACTGGCTTATCCATTGCCTACCGTCAAAGCATAGCTGCATCAAGTTGCATAAACAGTCACGGCTATTCAATCCTGCTTTATGGAAGCTGGGAGCTCTTAACTGTTAAGAAAACAGTCACTTGATTGATATTGACTGAAAGGACAACTTTGCACAGAATGTATGTTTACATAAGAAGGTTAATAAAATACTACTGCCACAAAGTGAAACTGTAAAGTGCTCATTCAGATCGCAGATAAAACTCAACAACCAACTTTTTTCTGCCAATCAATTATGTTCTTATTTTCTTTAGGAACGTAGCATTCTTTGCTGGGTCCATTCTTGCCGTGCTTGTCATCCTTGTCGTGTACGATGAAGACGTCTTGACAGTGGAACATGTGCTCACAACCACTACGCTACTTGGTAAGTAGAAAAATAGCAAAGATAAGAAGTAAAATCGTGAAAAGAGTCCGAATTACATACCAACTATGGATGGAAATTTCCGAAAATGTGTCGCTTGACGTATCTTTGGAAATGGCCTTCTGTTATTGTTTTCTTCAAAATGACAGCATGCCAGCAAGAATAATTTCACAGGGAGTTCAGCGCCATTACTATCTTTCAACCAAGTAAGCCTTTCAATAATAATTTGGTCAGTTACTTTTGTGATAACTGCAAATGATCTCCTCTACCTTTGACAACTCCTGTTCTATCCATTTTCCTTTCTTTTACAGGCGTGATCATCACTGTCTGCAGAACCTTCATACCGGATGAGGTAAAGGAAAGTTTTCTTCTGACCAGTCTATCTGTGACTAAACACCGTCGATATGTCGATATAACTTTATTATTTCGATATTATTTTGATATCGATATAGCGGATAGCAATTTTGTAATCATATCGAAATATCAATATTTTAACTTTTACATGGCACTATCGATATATCAAATATTCTTGATATTGCATTTCCGATATATATCGATTAGTGACAATTTTGATCTCGACAGTGCTTATTAATTGTGACTGAAATCAGTATGAGTCAAAGATAGCTGTGCATAAAACGAAACGTGTAATCACCTGCACTTTAACTGCTAGACTAAATAATCATCTTTTAGATGAAAAACTTATTTTTCAAAGTATTTCAGCTTGCACCTACATTGTATCTCCTTTCCGAAGAATAAACACAACCTTTCAATTCCTTCCCTGTTGTTGGTAGATGAAACAAACAGATAGTCTATTGAACATCCGCTTGTATACAAGTGTCTATGGTATTTGAGCAGATCTAACAATTAGTTATGCAAAACAAGACTGCATCTTGAGCAGATCTTATGATTAATTAAGCAAAACAAGACTGTGTCTTGACCTCAAGATTCTGACCATTCAGGGGGCGCCTTCGTATATGGGTCCTCCGTTGTTGTATTACAAAAACATGTCAGCCCAAATTGACCAATCAACAGCTCTGTCCACATGTCTGATAGAAATGATGTTACATTAAAATTAAGTCAAATCGGATTGGCTGGAATGTGAGTTGACAAAAAGTTTGCATGCTTGGATATATCAGAGGTTGGATATAGAGAGGAATTCATTGGACAACAGGTGATACTCAGACTAACAAACAGACAGTTCATTCTGAAATTTATTCAATTCGTTGGAAGGAATTACTTAAATTTGTAATTTTTGTCCCCGTGCCAGAATTTGATATTTTGTCCGGAGACCCTGATGCAGAGCATACTGGCTCAGATCCATTACATCCCGGATTCCTGGAAGGGTTGCGCTCATTCTTACAGAGTCAGAGATGAGTTCTCACAACTCTTCCAGTACAAGGCCGTAAGTACGCTAATATTTTGCGGGTTTTTTGGTAACACCAGCGCTTGATTTGCTAACAAAATGACATCCACCACGATGAAGCCTGAGAAATTTGGCTGGGAAATTTAAGCTTTTGAAAATTTCAAAATTTTTGGCAAAAATATTTTGGAAGCCAATATTCAGAGCAATATGTAAAACCCTTAAAAACCCTACAGGTCATTTTCAGGTGAAGGGATATAAAGCGTTAATCATGTCACACAGAGAGTCTCTGAGTATAAAAAAAAGCAGCACTGTGGAGAGCAGTGAAGCGTGACTGAATCTCCCTGCTTGCCCTGAACTTACCACTCAAAAGCATTTTGCAGGGATGTGAAGTATTTTCCACACTCCACAGAAGATTACCTCAAAGGAATTTGAAGCGTGGTGCTCACTCCGTGGGGTTGTGAAGTGCACTGGGAGGGTTAAGAAGCCACAACTGTCTGTTTCTGCATCCATGTATTCTTCACGTTGCTCTTTTCTCTCTCTTACCACAGTCCTACTTCCTCGAGGAGCTCCTGAGCCCCCTCCTGACTCCCCTTATCCTACTCAGGCTACGAGGCAAGGCGCTAGACATCGTGGATTTCTACCGCAATTTCTCCGTCGATGTAGTCGGCGTTGGCGACGTGTGTTCGTTTGCCCAGATGAACATCAGAACGCACGGTAATCCCAAGGTAGGAAGTGTCTCAAGACGCTCTTCGTGTTTCTCTCAGAACTCTCTGTTTGGAAACACAGCGGGTCACTCCAGGAATAAGCATTGTTGTCAATAATGAGAGATGGTCAAAATAACCCGGCCTTTTTAGGGTTGAGTTTCATGGTTTTTCTTTCTTGTTTTAATAGTGGATGACAGAAGGCAAATCTGACGCTACCCAATACCAACAAGCAGAGGACGGCAAGACAGAACTCTCTCTGGTGCATTTCACGGTAAGTTATTATTATTATTATTATTGTTATTAATTTCTGGTACTGAAACCAAGGATTCCTCAAAAGCGCCTAGGCACTGTAGCTTGCAAGCCTGAAGAAACCTGTGGAGAGAAGACAATAAAAAGAAATTACAGTTTTAGAGGTGGAAGGAAAACCCCAGAAGAATATTCTGGGGAAAACCCACGGAATCAGGCAGGGACTGAAAACCCAATCCACATATTGGCCCAGGCGGGATTCGAACCTGGGCCGCAGCTGTGGAAGACGAGGAAAGTACCGCTACGCCAACCTGACTCAGAATTCTCTTAATAAGACAATTGATGATTCTTTGGTGATAAAGAGAGATGAGGATGGAAAAGATTGCATCTTTGTTCAATGATGTATGGAGAATGACTAACATACCTTTAGAAAATTAACCTTTTTATTTTATTAATTTGTTTTTATCAGATGACCAATCCAAAATGGCAGCCCCCACAGGAGAGTAAAGTCTTCATCAATGCTCTGAAAGAACAAGGTACGTTCAAGATGAACAGAAAATAAACCTTAAAAATTATTAGCCCTGTTCTGTATGCCATTCTTTCAATCAATTCACTTCTTAACACTCTCAATTTGAGCTTAAAAGATCCCTGATATACCTAAATTGTAAATGTTACATGTGAATGAAATATGGGTGTAAGATCCAAACCTGTTGTAGCAATGTTTGACTTATCTCGTGGGATAACTTTATCATACTCACCTGCATGTATATATATCACAGCCCAGAAGGATGTCCATCTCTTGAACACAGTTGAGGCTGAGAACACAGCCCTGGCAACATCGTTAAGATCACTCTCGTCTCTAGAAGGAGGGGTAAGTCAAGTATTGTGCTCGATCCTTGATTCCCTATAAACCCTTTGTCCAAGCTTAAAATTGGATTGGTGAATGTCGGGACATAACTAAATGAAATCTTGATAGCCAGTGAGAATCAGTTTTTTCCACTGATAAACATTTACCAGGGTAGCGATATTTTTGTTTGTGGTATGAAGTATTAGCGGGTTGGCCTGCCTTTCCAAACTCTCTCTTGTGTATATACAAAGAGAATAAACTCCACTGACACTGCTGCTTAACTTGTCCCTCTGGAGCATACTGGCAGAGCTATACTAAATTACTAGAGCGCTAACTCCTCATTCTTACGAGCGGAGATGCTTTGAAGCCGTCCTGCGCAGACATTTTGAATCATGTGCGTGTTTGTAGAACATAATAAAATTAGATGGAGTGAATTTTGAAAGTGAACTCTAAATGCAATGCACACGAACAACATACGCAAACAACTTAAGCGCGACATAACGATTAAAAAACATCACAGCAAAAATCATCTGCAGCAGATACAACTTTGCTAGCCTCCTGAGGCTAGTAAAACTAGCCTCAGGAGGCTAGTTTTACTACATCACTTGAAGCATTCAATATTTGTTAATGATTTCTTGGCTGTTTTTTGTTCTGCATTACAGTACAGCAGCATACTTGGCAGCCTAGCAGTCCAGCAGGGCATGAGCAGCCTGCCGCCCACCTTCATGCCCCCTCTAGGCACCCCCAGGGGTATTGAGAGCATGATGGCCAGGGGGTCGGCTAACACCAAGGTACGGGGGGCTGTCTCTAGCACCGAAGGTCCACTGGACGGTGAATCGTCGGGACTGCTTGCTAGGTGAGACAGGTTTGGGTTATTATGGCTGTGGCTGGCAAAGGTCTGTGGGAAGCGGCTTCAACTGCTTTCCATAGGTGCATGTGTAAGTGCTTAGCCGTAGCCAAGTCATTTGGACGCTCTCTGAGATGCTGGGTAGGCAAAGGTTCCTTGTCTTGAATAAGTCAGTTGTTGAAGCCGCTGGGTAGCCAAGTCATTTTGTTCCAATCCGAGTCTGGGTCTCAAATGGGTGGGTTGAAATTTTGTCCCTGAAAGCTCAGATAACAGTCACTTTGTTATAGTCTGGTCCATTAGTAGGTTGTGAACAGCCGTCTTAAGTCTTACCCAGCCAGCGCGTTGATTGTCAGATTAATGTGTAACGTAGGAGTCAAGCTTATGTTAATACAAATCCGTTCATAGCAACCAATTAAATAATAGAAGCACGAGGCTGTTGCCTGTCCTCATAATTATACACTAGTGTGTTGAGGTCAGGTCTGTGTTCCAGGCCATTAGTTTCCGAAGTTCAAGTGTTAAATAGCCAAGCTGAAGTTAGACTCTTAACTATCTTGGATTATTTTCTGATTCTGAGTCAATCCTCTAACATTTCAGTGTGACAGGTTCAGGTCCCCTCCAGACCAGCCTGGGCCCACTGATTGAATTTAGACGCTTCCAAAGCAGCCATCTGTAGTCCTGTTCTTTGGTCGTTGAGCATGTTGTCTTTTATTTCAGTGTGACAGGTTCAGGTCCCCTCCAGGCCAGCCTGGGCCCACTGAGTGAATTTAGACACTTCCAAAGCAGTCATCACTAGTCCTGTGCATTGATCGTTGAAACCTCTTGTCTTTTGTTTCAGTGTGACAGGTTCAGGTCCCCTCCAGACCAGCCTGGGCCCACTGACTGAATTTAGACGCTTCCAAAGCAGTCATCACTAGTAATGCACTTTGACGGTTGAGTCTCTTGTCTTTTATTTCAGTGTGACAGGTTCAGGTCCCCTCCAGACCAGCCTGGGCCCACTGAGTGAGGAGAACACGCAGATGTCTATGGTCACCACGATGGTATCACCTCAATGCATCGACAGCACCAGCGATATGAACTTCAGCGCTCTCTATATGCATCAGGTAGGGTAGCAACTGTTGGTTATAGAAAAAAAAATCTCCACTGATTTGGACTGTTCCATGTGAACATCAAATATACAAGTCAAACGTGAAACAAGTCAGTTTAATAATATTTGCTTTAACATACTAAACCTCCAAATCCATTTATTTTTGAAAATTGCAGCAAAGGCAAATGTTGTACATTCCCTTTACTGCACAAAATGCTTGACTTTGACCTAATAAAATCAATAAATTACACGTACTTTTAAAATTACAATCCTTAACTTTCAGTGTGTTATTAATGTCTTAGCTTGGCAGTTTAAGTAATAATTATGCTCATAACATTAACCATGTATGAAAGATACATACACATGTATGAAAGATTCTTTCTGGAAAGATTTTATCCTCATTCATAAAAGACCGTTTCAGGTTTTGTTAAATTACCCAAATGGCCTGTATTATTAACTGACGTTGTGGTTTTTTCGTAGCTCCATGATCGTCGCGTAGCACTTGCCGACTCCCACACTGCTTCCCAGAGTTCACCTGTGGACGGCGTCGACAATGACGAAGAAGCCAGACATCACTGGGGTTTGGAGACAGGCCCTTCACCAACCTCCCTCCCCAAAGCCCCCGGTCCACTCGGAGAAGAGGTGTTCCACTCACTACCGGGGCTGTCCAGTCTGCCGACAGTTGTGGAGGGGAACCTGGTGGACACTGCAGAGAATGACGTCAACGTGTAGGAACGTGGGCGTTAGAATACTTGCAGAGTGGTCAGTACGGATATTAACAGGAGTGAATTGTTGATCGGAGAAGAGACCAAGAATATGGAAATGCCGCGGGCTATAATGGCGCTATCCTTGAACGACAATTAACAGTGAACATTTGTGACAACGATGACTGATGTGAAGAAATGATGACCACACTGGGATGGTGACCACCAAGCCACTATCCACTCAACTGACCTAACGTTTTAACCACTTCGTGCCGGGATTTTTTTTGCTGAAATTTTCAATTATCGCAAAAGGTACAATTTTGAAGCCAACTTCTGATATACAGCCAAACACCACAAATACTGATTCGCAAGAGTCATTTCAACAGTATTTGTACGATATTTCTTGCCGAATCCTCATATGTTTCAATACTCCGGGGTGTGCGCTGGAGCGTAAATTGTACAACAATACGCCGTGCACAACGGCCAACTCAACATCAACACACGGTCCACCTCCACGGACTTCACAGACTTTGTGTGTGTACAAAAGGCACGAGGGATTAGCGTGTTTGGACATCACCCAGAGGCGAGTCGAGGCAATCTTGACGTCTGAACCTGTTAGCCTCGCCTGTGTTTAAAAACAGCCAGTGCCTGTTATCACGTCCTCCGACTCGAACTGAGTAATGGGGGGTACAATGCGGAGGTGGCTGCTTGAAGTGGTGGCCGGAATGGACTGTGTACTGCAATCGTAGCAACTGCGCAGTGGCCACAGTGCCCACATTTTGAAGTTTGTGATATTGGACAGTTGGCTGTAAAGAACTGTTGGCCACAGATGACAAGTAACAAGAGATGGAACGGAAGCCACAGTGCGTTTGGTGCGGAATCGTCTTGGGCTTTGTATGGACTACGAGGCCACATTGGTGGCCACGATGGGCTGCTGGCCACGAAGAGACTGCTGGCCACAATGGATTGCTGGCCACAAACAGACTGCTGCCTATAATGGATAGGTGGACAAAATGGCCCGTTGATCACATTGACACAGTGACCACATGGGTGGCCGCAATAGACCGGTGACCACAACTGACCAGTGTTGACCACAGTGGTCTGGTGTCCAGAGTGCACTGGAAGCCACAATAGACTGGTGGCCATAATGGCAGGTGGTCACTATTGACCGATGGCCAGAATGGACTGTGAACCACATTGGACTGCTGGTTGCACCGAAATTCTGACCGCATGGTAAGACTTGATCCTGTCAGGATAAGTTGACAGCCAAACTGAATATTCAGTTATTGCATTGAATATTCATGAAGAAGCTTCTGCTTTTAAAATGTTGCAATGCAGATTACTGCTTTTCGAGTGTTACAGTAAGATGTTGCCTTGCGTTTTGGGCTTTGCTTGTGAGAATATGTAGGATATGTTGTATGTATATTTAATTCTCAAACTGTTGTATTTAAGAGCAGATTAGATGTTTAATCGGTGTAGCTGGGTGTGTGTGATTTTTTTATCCAAGATCGTTATAGAGAAAAACGCATGCAAAGTTAAAGGAACTTGTGAATGAAAAAGCCATCTTGATATGTACATGTACATGTGTATATATGTATTCAGTGCTTAGGTGTTAATAATTGTCGAATGCATGAACTGTAAACCTGTTTGTAAGTAGATCCCAGAATAATTACTCTGTTTACTTCTTTAACCCTAACTCCATAGGCATTTTTGCTAGGATGTAACCTCAATCCGGCAAAATCCTCCAACTGTCTCCATGTAAAAATAGCATACAGCCTCAATTCTCCAAAATCCTCCGTTATTTCTTGAATGTGGTCCTTGGAGGGGTGACCACTGCCTCAATCCTGGAAAATCCTCCAGCAATCACTGTCAGTATGTTGAGGCAGAGCCAGTGACATCCTGTAGCAGTGCGGAGGATTTCAAGTATAATCTAGGCCTAAATTTATGTGAGGCTGAGCATAAACAACACAATGTCCGGCCCAAGACCTTGACACAGTGCATCCTCCCAAATCAGACACACCTCTGTGCCATACAGCCTCAATCTTTAAAATCCTGCACTGTACAATACAAGGAGGATTTTGGGAGGATTTGGGAAGGGTAGGGTTCATCTTTATACCAACCCAAACAGTTATGCTCTAGATTTTTTCAAAAATCCATTCCGATGTTTTGGAGGCTTTTAGAATTAAGGAACTCAGTCAGGTATACTTTATAGTGTCACATACTCCGTCTTTTGCAATCACGACAAGACTGTTTATGATGTCCAACGTGTAGATGTGACTTGGGCAAGCGAAGTATTTCACAGACATCTTGAAAAACAAAAAACACTGTTGGGTTTGCAATGTATTTAAGAAAATTAGGCCAAGTAAGGCCTAAGAAGTAAATACAGACCTGAACAAAAAACTAAAATAAATTGGAACTTTGGACTCTTCCTTTGAGTTTTTGCATAAAATTGTAATTATATAATTGAATGATAAGTTTGGAATGTAACATTTAAGAACTTTGAAAATTGAATCGTTGATGTACAGTTGTGTTTTAAAATGCCAAACGTTTCAGAATTACTTTTGTAGGTAAACTACAAACAGTAATTGGTATTTTGGACTTTTTATGTTTAAACTAATTTGCCGTGTACAAAAGTTCGATTTTGAGTTCATGATGTTGTACTTTTTAATTGAATATGTGTGCATTATTTGTATGCTTTTAAAATTTATTTATATTTACAAGTGGGCTACTGTGGCAAATGTAGATTGCATTCAGGAAAACAGTTGTTTCGGCTAAAAGTTTGTGATGTTAATGTTATTGGTTAAATGAGTCCATATGTACCACTGGAGTAACTTTCAAGATATAATCGTCGACAAGTTGTAAGAAAACGTGACCCTAAATTTGTAAATTATTCAACAAAAAAAGAACTTCAAATCAAATGGCACTATGTAGGAGTACGCCAAAAAAAACATTCAGTTCGGAAAATACTCTAAAGATAATAAAAAAATAATAATAATTTTGGTGATGTTATTCAGTGGGAAATAAAAGTAATGAATTTCGTCAAGTGATTAGACTCTTTAAGCCCCTTTGTTATCTTTCCTGCAAGTTTCAAGGAATTACATTTTTGGACCAAATTTAAAAAAATAAATTGCAAGGGGTTAGCCTTACTTTTCAACACATTTGGGCCAAAAATGTACTTTTCTGCAAACAACGCAGAAATTGCCTGCAAGTCAAGAAGGGCATTAATGTTGAAGATTTGGGCAAAAATCATCAATTTTCCGATGAAAAAAATAATGTTTTGGACAGATTTGACCACCTTTGCTCTACATTTTATTTGAAAAGCACATCTGACCAGAAATGGAATTGAAAAGTCGTTTAGGCATCTTTCCTGCAAGTTTCAAGGAATTACATTTTTCGACCAAAATAAAAAAAATGCGCAAGGTGAAAGCCTTACTTTTTTAGTCAATTTGGATCAAAAATTGACTTTTCTGCAAACAACGCAGCAATTCCTTTGGAAGTCAGAGGAGAACCAATCAATACTCAAACACCCATTATTTTAAATATTTGGGCACATACCATCGATTTTGTGAGATAAAATTTAACATTTTTGACTGTTTTCCCACATATTTTGGTCCATATTTGCTTTTGAAAAGCAAATCTTTCTACAAATGGAGTTGGAATGTGTTCTAGGTCCCTTGGGCATCTTTCTAGCAAGTTTCAAGCAATTTCATTTTTTGATCAAAATTGAAAAAAAAATGCAAGGGGTTAGCCTTACATTTTTATCAAAATTTGGCCCAAAAATTGACTTTTCTCCAGACAATGCAGGACTTCCTTTGGGAATAAGAGGAACACGAATCAATACTCAAAAACCCATTATTTTAAAGATTTGGTAAAACATTATCGATTTTATGACAAATCATTAAAATATTTGACTGATTTTACCCCATATTTTGGTCCACATTTTCTTTTGAAAAGTAAATCTTTCTACAAATAGAGTTGGAATGTGTTCTAGGGTCCCTTAGGCATCTTTCTAGCAAGTTTGAAGGAATTTCATTTTTTGATCAAAATTGAAAAAAATGTAAGGGGTTAGCCTTACATTTTTATCAAAATTTGGCCAAAAATTGACTTTTCTCAAAACAATACAGAACTTCCTTTAGAAGTCAAAGGAGCTCCATCAATACTCAAACACCCAATATTTTAAAGATTTGGGCAAAAACCTTAATTTTTATGAGAAATAAATTAAAGTTTTTGACTGATTTGACCCCATATTTTGGTCCATATTTTCTTTTAAAAAGCAAATCTTTCCACAAATGGAGTTGGAATGTGTTCTATGGTGTCTTAGGCATTATTCTAGCAAGTTTGAAGGAATTTCATTTTTGGGTCAAAATTGAAAAAAATGCAAGGGGTTAGCCTTACATTTTTATCAAAATTTGGCCATAAATTGACTTTTCTCAAAACAATGCAGAACTTTCTTTAGAAGTCAGAGGAGCACCAATCAGTACTCAAACACCCAATATTTTAAAGATTTGGGCAAAAACCTTAATTTTTATGAGAAATAAATTAAAGTTTTTGACTGATTTTACCCCATATTTTGGTCCATATTTTCTTTTAAAAAGCAAATCATTCCACAAATTGAGTTGGAATGTGTTCTAGGGTCCCTTAGGCATCTTCCTAGCAAGTTTGAAGGAATTTCATTTTTTGGTCAAAATTGAAAAAAATGTAAGGGGTTAGCCTTACATTTTTATCAAAATTTGGCCAAAAATTGACTTTTCTCAAAACAATACAGAACTTTCTTTAGAAGTCAGAGGAGCACCAATCAATACTCAAACACCCAATATTTTAAAGATTTGGGCAAAAACCTTAATTTTTATGAGAAATAAATTAAAGTTTTTGACTGATTTTACCCCATATTTTGGTCCATATTTTCTTTTAAAAAGCAAATCTTTCCACAAATTGAGTTGGAATGTGTTCTAGGGTCCCTTAGGCATCTTTCTAGCAAGTTTCAAGGAATTTCATTTTTTGGTCAAAATTGAAAAAAATGTAAGGGGTTAGCCTTACATTTTTATCAAAATTTGGCCAAAAATTCTCTTTTCTCAAAACAATGCAGAACTTCCTTTAGAAGTCAGAG